GGCCCAGTTTTATTTATTGTGCCGATACCGATATATTAAAAATGACTAATATTGGCTAATACTGATGTTAGTATCAATATATTTTTTGCATTCTTAGCCCAAAACCTTTGTTGTTACATTTTGGACCTACAGTTGCTTAAATATTAGTTCCACTATGACATGTTTTATTAATTATTTTAAAAAATGTCAAATACAATATGTTTTTGCATTTTTATTTCCCATCTGAGTGTTAAGTTCACAGACTTGTGATTTAAAGGATTAAAGATGTCTTATTGTTAGATTTTATTCTGTTTTCTGACATTTTAAAGCACTAAACTAACATGAACTCCAGTTTTCTTATTCAATATCTAATTTGTTTTGCTGATAACTTCCATGACGAATTTTAAACAAAAACATATTTTACATGTAACAGCTTTAGTCTGTGAGTTTGTGTTGCAAACTGAACCATATAGTTAGTTTTTAAATCCAGCTGCAGCTTCTTTAACCTGATTCGGTGAAATGATGTTTGGTTTTCAGCTGTGTGAGCGAGTCCGGGTGGAGGTGGTTTCTCTCAGCTTGACGCCTGAGTCTCGGCTGGCGCGGGACGACGCCGTGGTGCGTCTGTTTGTGGAGTACAACTTCCTAGATCTGCCCACCGAGGAGACGCCGCTGTCGCTACCCAAACCGCCGCTGGGCCGCAGCATCAACTTCAACTACAGCAAAGGTCTGTGACTCCTGGATCATGCTTGGTTCTGTTCAGAGACTCTTGAGTTTCAGTTTTCTTTTTGAGCCAAATTCAAGTTTCTGATGCTGAATTTAAACAGGAAGTTTGTTCAGTTAAAGATAGAAAATGGATTTAAGTCTACGTTCACATGCAGCCTGAGGTGACCCAATCTGACTTCTTGTCAAATCAGATTTTTTGGGCCAAAATTTAAAATTAACTTTATATTTTGGTCCATCTGATGGTGTAATTTTTAAATATTAAATGACAGTGGACCTTTTACCAAATACTGTTTTACTCTAGCTTGAGTAATTTCTTAGATGACTACTTTTTACTTTTACTTAAAATGATATTGAACTTTTGTCTACTCTGCCACCTTTGACTAAAACAGACTGTAAAACAGATCTGTACTTTGCTAAAATCAGTTTATTTTGGTTGAAATCTGCAGCTGTGCAAATTGAATGTGGACAAATCCAGATAATTTTTTTTTACTGACATAAAATTCTAGTTTGTACTGATAACCAGCAGTTAAACTGGTTTAAATGTACATAATTTTACAAAAACAGATAAAGCCAACTTGTTTCACAGTTTGAGAGCGTAATTACAACCCCAGAAGAAATCCCGTTATGCTTGTTGTGTGTCTGTTTGTAACATTTGTTTGTTGGATTGTTTGTGTTTCCGTAGTGATTCTTGTAGACGCAGAGAACCACGCAGCGAGGCGACGGCTGCTAAAGGAAGTCCTGCAGGGCCGAAACTCTCAGATGGAGAGGTAAGAAATATTATTATATTTAACTAAAACCAACAAATAACAAAAACAGGAATTGAGAAAACATTTCAAAATAAATGAAAACAGTAATTAAAGGGGAAAAAAACTACCACTAACTGGAACAATATTGTGCATTTATAAAACTTCTGTCGAGTATTCATTACCCATTTGATGTAAACATAATCACAATACTTTGACCTTTTAACCAAAGTATGAAAAAACTAAAGCTACTACTGCAGCTAATAAAAGCTAAACTAAAACTAAACAAGATGTAACTAATAAATCCACTCTAAAAACTAATTAAAACTAACTGAATGAGATGAACAAAAGGTTACAATAAAATAAAACCGTAATGAAAAACCCAAAACTATTAAACCCATGGCGGTCAGGAAGTGAGAACAGTGAGACAGGAAGTGACATCGAGATGACTACCCAAGTCCGCTATCTCTAACCAGATTACAAGGATTGTAGTTAGAATGGAAATATGTTTTTTGCGTTGTATATTATGACAGAATGTATACATAATAATAACAGCATAAATGTCTTCAGGGAAGTGAACATTTATTGATTTTAAGTCTGTTGGGAGGAGCTTTGAGTTTAAACAGGTTCATCTCCATATTATTGTGTTTTTCCAGGAATATTCCTGTTTTGCTCTGGAAGTGTTTCATTGTTCAGTTAATGTTTTTCTTCTTCGTTGAGTGAATAAAACATGATTCCTTGATTTGGCTGGATTTTCCTCCAGCGGGATCCGGAGATCAGATATGAAGGAAGGAAACCAGAGCCAGCTGTTAGTCTGCCAACGAAACAAAAGAAAAATCAACAAACCTGCAGGCCAGCTCCCAAGGAAGCTGCTTTGCCAAAGAGATTGATATTTAAATATACAATTTAAAAGTTCCTCCAAACAAAAAACAAATCATCATGAGTCTCAGTTTGATCAGTTTCTAGTTTTAATATGAAATTAGATTTTATATCTTCATCCAATAGTTGAATGTATGGAAATTTGCCCAAATTATACACTGTTCCATCTGACACTGTTGAATTTCTCTAGACAACTGTTTATGATTTTCTACTACATTTGAAACCAATCCCACATTTCAGAAAGGGAGAGACAAATGTTTGTGTCACTCGCTGCATTTCTGTTACAAATGTGATCAAAACTTTGTTTATATTCTCCTAAAGTAAAAAAACCCCAAAACTTTGCAATTGCTGTGTTTTCATTAAATAAGAAACACAACTAAAATCACACATGAATAAGTTTGACGATGATCATGATGATGCATCTGCCAACAGAATCCGGTTCACGGTGGTGAGCGAGCCGCCGGAGGAAGAGGAGCAAGAGAAGGAGTGTGAGGATGTGGGCGTGGCCTACCTGAGGATCCCAGAGATCCTGGAGAAACAAGCAGACATGATGGAGGCCAGCCTGAGTGGTGAGCACACACACACACACACGCGCACACGCACACATACACATACATACATACACATGCACACACACACACATACATACACATGCACATACCCACACACGCACACACACATACACACACACACACATACACACACACCCACACATACACACACACATACACACACACACACTCAGAGTAAAAGGACCATCATATTCAGCTCCATCATTAAGATCTACCAATTACAATTTGTAAAGTGGACTTGTTTCAATATGGCCGCTCTTTGCCTCAGCGGTAGCAAGATGTGGTGAAAACATGTTTATTTTTACAGGAAGTCACACGTGTAAGAGTTCATCTGAAATCAGAGTTACATGCAGCGCCTACAGCTCTGAACTGAATAAATTAAAAATGGTGTTAGCTTGTGGAAAGTAGAAGATAAATGATGTCTATAAGAGCTTTTGAAAATGTTTATGGGTGCCGCCATGCTGAAATTCCGACTTGCTAACTAGAACGTTGTTATGTCAGGTCTGATGTCAAACCACTTCCCAGGTTTACTGGAAAGCAACATGACTCAAAGATCTGTACATTTTTATATTCAGATGCCTGCTTTAATAAATATTTTAAAGATTTTAAGAAGCTTGCAGATCTTTTTTCACCAACAAACTGTATTTCTTCTTATTTACTGTTTTTTGATGCAAAATCTGCAGATCTCTCAGTTTCTTTGCTTATTTCTGCAGCTGTATTTCCCCTCTGCTGCTCATTATCTCCATGTCTCTGTGTCTCTGCAGTGCTGGACGTGGAGGACAACAGCCAGGTGGTGGGACAGCTGACCGTGTCCATGGAGGGCCTCCAGGCTCTACGGGCCATCATGGAGGACCAGGACCTGGAGTGAAGCCGCAGCGACCCAAACAGGAGGATTCGGGTCGCTGTTCTGTTGATCCATCAGAACAAACAGAGAGTAAAGCGTCCTGGTTTTAAAACATCCAGGAGAGACTTTGAACTGCACAGTGGGAATCAACCAGTGATTCTTTCAGCGCCAGAGCCTCAGCTGACAGGAAGCTCTTAGTAAATACAATCACTCCTTAATTTGTTAGAATCTCTGGTTCGTTTCCCGTCTTCAGATCTCTTGCTGCCAATCAGACGAAGTCAGGACAGGATAATGTCAAACACGGCGTTCTGCATTTTCTGCAGTCTGTCAGCTGTTTGAACTCAGGTTAACTGCAGAAGCTGCTATTCTGCAGGTTGGAGCAGCTCCTCTGGCAAGTCACCGACAGGTGAGGAAACACTTGAATGTTTTACAGTTTCACTTCCGATGACGAGAAACAAGCAAAACAATGACTCACTTCATTTCATGTTTTCATACCAGACTTGGCAAACAGTCTCACTCTGGGCCTTAAACTACTTTGAAAATAATTCTTCTAATAAATGTTTCTTTGGAGTCCAAACATGTCTGTTGTGGGAAATGTTATTCTCTTTATTTCAAGACAAAGCACACAAGTTTTAAAAACCTTGTTGAAAGTAAGACTGGAGGACATTGGCTGAAAAACCTATCAGTTGATATCAATAATTACTGATTATTCTATTTGTTTTAAACATCTGAAATATTCCCAAACTGGCGATGTGAACTTTCCTCTTTTATACAGTTTTCCTCCACGCCGTTGTTTTTATTTTTACCGTTTTTGAGGAATGGTGGTGAAACCTGAAACTGTTGCTGCGCAAGTTACTCCACAGGTTGTTGCTAGGCATCCAAGGAGTGAGTGAGTTTTGCTAGGTCACCAAAGAGGAAGTGAGTTAGTTGATATCACCAACCAGCCTACATCTCCCAGAATGCTGTCGGTTCTGGATCAGAGTTCAGTGATTATTGCATAGATTGAATATTCAATCTATAGAATTGGATATTTTTCATATTGTGATAGACATATTTATTATATGTCTATCACAATAATTATATGTCTATCACAATATATATTTTTACTGATTTACTGTCCAGCACTAAGTTTTAGCTAAAGAATTTAAACATTGAATAGTTTTTCTGGGATTGTGGGAAAGTTTAGTGGAGCAGCGTTTTCTTTTCCTCTGTAGAAAGGGAGAGTTGCAGGTTGGGTTGCGCGCGTGGGTGTGTGTGTGTGTGTGCGTGTGTGTGTCGGGCAGCGGCGGCTCAGTGGGCGGCAGGATGTCGGCTCCAGCTGACCAGCATCAGAACAGCAGCAGGAGAAGCAGAACCAGACGAAGGCGATCCGGAGCAGCGGCAGAACCCGAGCCGGACGGAGCCACTTCCACTGCAGCAGGTAAATCTGACCTGAGAACAGTTTCCCTCTGAGAATAGAGAAGATTCAGTTGCTTTTACTGCAAAAGACACGACATCAATTAATAAAAGACTGACTTTATGTTTTTAATTCCTACAATAACAAGACATAAAATACAGAGAAAGAGTTGAATAGTTGTGGTACATTTCTGGTGGGTTTGGTCCAGAATAAAAATTACACCACAAAGTGTTTGGAAAGAGTAACTGAAGAAAATGTTCTACTAGATCCACTGTGGATTTCCCTGCAGCTCTGAAAGAACTGTTTGTGATCTGGAACTTCTCATCGGTAATCTTTTGTCATTTTCAGTTAAATCTGCATTCAGTGAAGTTTTACAATAATGTCATTATTATTAAACATTTCAGATTCCCCAGTTATCATAAAAAAGTCAAAAATATTCAGAAATGTTTTAATAAGCTATAAATGTATCATAACTCCAATAACTGCTGTGCACAATATTAATTACTCTGGGTTCGTTGCTGTTATGAATGAAAAGTTTGCATGTAAGAAATTAATTTAATCTGTAGTAGATGATCCTGCATGACTTGGTTGATAGTGATAAGAATCAAAATATTTGATAAGAAAATAAGGATATATTTCTATATTCAACAGGAATGTGGCCCCACCTTAAGCACAGTAAAATCTTTATTTTCCTCCTTTTAAGCGTTTCTCCAAACATCTTCAAAGGTTTGTTTTTTCTAATTAGCGCTGTTGCAAAGCTGGACAAAATCAAAAATGTGATGTTTTAATACAGAAAAATGAAAACTTGTGAATCAAATCTCTGATTAAATGATAATTTCAACAATATTTCTCTTTTCCAAAGCAAATCCATCAGTCATCAGTAAACCTAATCAATTGTGTTGATCGGAGTTTTTTGGACATAAAACATGAGCTTTCCCGGTTCTGGTGTCAATGATGGCGGTGTTGTCTGCAGCTGATGTTGCCATGACAACGACCCGCTCTTCTTTGGTGTGGAACCAGCTGGTGCTGAAGGCTGAATGAACCGCAGCAGCAGTTTGGAGTCGGGACGCAAACAATCAACCAATTCACGATTAACTGTCGATTGCTGGTTTATTGATTTAAAATTAGTTCCAATATATTAACTTCCGTTCAGACCGCCTTTTAGAGTTGTAGTTTGTCATCCTTAAACGAAGACAGTTGATTCATACAGAAACAAAGATGGCGGCCAGAACAGGAAAAAGGAACGGCCCAAACTGAGTCCGGCGTTTGATGCAAAAAGCACTTTATGTGGTTCTGTTTAGAAATATAAACACTCGGCAAGCTGCTTAAGTGAACTTTGATCTTAATATCGCTTAATATCTGCAAACTCCCACAAAACACTTTGATCAGGAGTCATTCACACTTTTCTGACAAAAACAAATGACTGCAATTTTTCTGATGAGTGTCTAAATCACTTCACCAGCCCACAGTAACTCCTGACCTGGTGGATGATCATGACTGAGTGGTGCTGAAAACCGCCTGCATTATGTCATTGACTTTAGAGCAGAAAGCTTTTGTTTGAGGCGCAGCTTTCTAACCTACATGTATATATTTGATCCTACGCGGATTTCAGAAAATTATCTTGTAACTTTCAAAGCATCATTGGTGAGAAATAACCAGTCAGGAGTGCTGAGATAAACATTTGCTGTATGAGAGACGAAACAAAAACTTTAAACATATGCCAAATTTGAAACTGACAATATATTGTCAAAAACTGTCTGAAAGTAAAAATAATTAAAGGGGACCCATGATGCAAAATGAAATTAAATATCATTGTAACAAATTTAATAAGTTATTTTAGAATAATAATTGGGTCTCAACTGCTGCTAAAAGAAGCCCAAGCACTTAAAAAATACCCAGCTATTTTTTAGTATAATAAGTCACCCTATAAGCAGCTTTCCCACCAACAGATCCAGAAACATTCTAAGGTTTTCTTTTATTGTAGAGCTGACTTAGTTTGTTTCTGCACAGCTGCAGCCTCCCTTCAGACACACAGATCCACAGATCTCTGTTATCCAGAACAGAAACGTTCCTGTGTGATCTGGCCCTGAAACGCTGAGTGCAGAGCAAAGGCCCAGCGGCCAGCAGGAGAAAATGCTACTCTCTCAGGATGGCGGCTGTGTGCTTTGGACTGTATTCAGCTCTTTACTCAGTTCACATGAGAAGAATTTGTTCTTCAAGAAAACACATTCAGATCCAATCACATCCTTAATGTTCCCATGTTCCTTAAACTACTGAATTTCTGTTCATTTTGAAAGAAATCATTTTATAGCTGCTCTGTTCAAACACTGAAAGAAAAGCAAACAGAAGAAATCATGTTAAACAGAATCTGATATTTTTTATCTTCAGACTAAACAAACACCTTATATTCATTTTGGAATATTCAAATTCAAACTGTACTGCTGATAAATTATAATTGAGCCAGTTTCAGTTTTTTTTTTTTTTTTACCATTCTTACACAATAATTCATACGCAAGGCAACTTTGAATTATTGTATATGAATAAAAAAAATTCAACTTGACATCCTTCAGGATGTTTTATCTGTTTTGACAAAAAACATCAACACAGATTTAGATTAAAAAGCTTTAAAATTAAACAGTTTTTTTTAAAACCCAGTAGTGAGCCGCATGAGAGTGTATTTCATCAGCAAAGATGTTTAGTATTTTATACTTTATTTATGTAGCAATTAGTAATAAAATAAAAGTGTCCTGAGACTGGTGCCTTGAGGGACCCCACATTTGATTCCTTTTTGGTCATATTAGCAATTAGCAACTGGTCCCAGCCGGCCAAATAAAATCTCACGCACTTTTCCAGTCTGGATCAATTTAAAGTGGGTCACCAGTGAAGAATGAGATGAGCAGATAGTGATGCCTGATATGGTGGATAAACCTTTCTCTACACTGAAGGGTTTTAATCATGAGTGTGGATGAAGATTCCCGCTGGCTGGAGTGGGTAACCAAACAGTTTGAGACCATCGCTGGAGACGACAAAGAAATCGACATCGACGAGTTTAAAACTGCGCTCAAAGTCAAAGAGGTAAGAAACAACCAAAAGTTTGATAACAAAACTTGTTTTACCACAGGGCAAAAAGAGGCTGGTCTTTTACTACCAGATGTAATCAGGGTTTAGATTCACAAAAAAACTGAAAATACAACAATTATATCCAGTTTCTTTCTTTCCCTGTAAAAAATAATTGTAAAAGTTGCGTGGAATACACATCAAAGCGCAGATATTTCCGTTGACTGCAGGGAAACTCATGGCGCTGTTGAAGGTCCTTCATGTTCATGCTGCTTTATGATTGTTTCCAGGAAGCTTCGTGTTTTCACAGTTTGTTCTGATTAAACTTTACTTGTTTCCAGTCTTTCTTTGCCGAGCGTTTCTTTGCTCTGTTTGACTCGGATGGCAGCGGATCCATCAGTCTCGATGAGCTGCTCAAAGCTCTGAACCTCCTCATCCACGGCGACGAGACCGACAAGCTGCGCTTCCTGTTCCAGGTCTACGACGTCGACGGTGTGTTTGCACTATAACCGTAAACAGTGAAGGAAAGGCAGAGATGTACAACGGCGTATTAAGGCCTTTGTAGATATTCATAAAGGAGGTGTACATTTTGGACAGGGTAAATCCCAGCAGATTTAGAAATGGATAATAATGTGGAGATACCGATGAACATATAATAAATATCTACAATGGCAAGAATTTGGATGGAAAAGTATTGTAAGATTCTTTATCACACCTGCACAGAAATGCCACTATGATGGAAATCCTCCTGCATGTTGGAGAAAATGTAGAAATCAAAATGCAACCCATTATCACGTCTTCTGGGACTGCCCAATTATAAAAGATTACTGGAAAGAGACAATAATCAATAAAAATAAAATTAAAAAAAGAAGAAAAAAGGAAAAACCACCATAGTACATAATAAGCCATGTAGTGCGAAGTAAGCGGAAATAAAATAATATTAGCAACAATGGTTCCCATATGTAGTTTTTTTAGGAAACAAAACACATTTTCTGCGTACTTAGTGGTAATTTCATTCATCCACAAAGACCTTCGCCTTATAACAAAAGATGAAAGAAAGAAAAAGAAGAAAAAAGGAAAAACCACCATAGTACATAATAACCCAGGGAGTGGCAAATAAGCATAAATAAAATGATATTAACAACAAGGGTTGCCATATGTAGTTTTTTAGGTTAGAAAACTAATTTTCTGTGTCCTTGGTGGTCATTCCTGCAGCCTTAAAAACGGTTTCTGTTTTCCTTGCACCAAGATCTTGTAATAAAACTTCAGGTGGGCAACTTTTTTCTTTTGGAAGTTTGACAGATCGTTCACTGGGACTGCGCTCTCTTCCTGGATACTGTCTCCAATTGTCGTCTTCTTTAAAACCAAACATAGGTCTTCAGAATCGACCATCTCTGTTTAAAAGCAAACTTCTCCAGCCGGGGAAGGATCGAAAGGAAGAGAATCCAACTCGTCGTTACCAGGGTCTTTCCCAGCCGGGGAGGTTTGCTTCTTAATTGGAGACAGATTGAAAAGAAAAGAATCAAACTCATCGTAACCTGAGAAGCAAACTTCCCCAGCCAGGGAGGTTTGCTTCTCAGTCAGGGAAAGATCGACAGGAAAAGAATCAAACTTGTTACCAGTGAAGCAAACCTCCCTGGCTGGGGGACAGATTGAAAGGAAAAGAATCAAACCCATCGTAACCCGAGAAGCAAACTATCCCAGCTGGAAAGAAAATTGTCAAAAAGATCGTACCCAGAAGAAGTGCTCTTGTCTGTCATGTCTTGATCCTGAGAGCTACCTCTTTCGTCTTCTCTGCCAGGAAATAACTTATCACATATTTTCCTCATTCCAGTTGTAACTAAATAGCCAACACCAAAACCGAGGGGAAATCACATGCCGACTAACATTTCTGCCATACTGACAATCCTTGCGATAAAACAATGCTGAGGTTTGAAGAGCTAGCTAGTGTTTTGAAAGAGCTAGCTAGTGTCAAGCATTCATAAACTCAGGAGTTCTTTGATGTAAAACCACATTTTTTTCTAGAAAATTTCTAAGATTAATCTCAAATTTTAAATGTTTTTCTTTTTTTCTAGAATGATTTTGAGGTTAATCTCAATTTCTGAGTTTTTTTTTTAATTCATAAATTGTCAACTTTCAGAAGCCAGAAACTCAGACCTGATTTATGTTTGCAATTCTTCTACTTTTCAGGCTCAGAAAAGCCCGTATTTTTCAAGACAATTTCTAAGATAAATCTCAAAATGTAATAGTTTTTCTTGCAAAGTTTTGACTTTCAAGCTTATAAATGTTCTTATTTTTTCTAGAAAATGTGAGTTCAATCTCAAAAATTTCGATTGTTTTCTTGCAAATGGTTAACTTTTGGAGTTCATAAAATTCCTTGTTTTTTCTAGAATATTTCTGAGTTTCTTGGCAGAAATGTAAAATGTTGTATCCTTTTTGTGCTAACAGGCAGCGGTTCCATCGACCCAGACGAGCTGAGAACGGTTCTGAAGTCGTGTCTACAGGAGAGCGCCATCTCTCTGCCAGAAGAGAAACTGGACGACCTGACACTGGTTCTGTTCGAGTCTGCAGACAAAGACAACAGCGGCTCCATAACCTTCGAAGAACTGAAAGCTGAGCTGGAAAACTTTCCGGAGGTGATGGAGAATCTGACCATCAGGTGAGCGCGTTGTTTTCCGCTCTGTGATGTCATAAAGATGGGTGTTAACAGCTGTCGTCCACAGCGCCGCTAACTGGCTGAAACCGCCTGATCAGGAGCAGAAGAAGCCTCAGACGCCCCGGTACCTGACCCGGGCCTACTGGCAGAACAATAGCCGGAAGCTCCTGTTCCTGTGTGGCTACGTTCTGCTCAACCTCATGCTGTTCATCGCCGCCATGTTGTACCACCGCAAAGGCGGCGGCTGGTTCATGCTGGCCAAGGGCTGCGGCCAGTGCCTGAACTTCAACTGCACCTTCGTCATGGTATGGCGGAAATATCGTCACCAGTTAGCGCCGTTTCTACTTAAATACAACAAATACAAACATTATTTCTGCTAAGGCTGGTAGGTTAGGTCAACATCTGAAATTATTGTTTCAGACTGCATAAAATGGAAGAGCATTAGAGCCACTGAAAAAATAAATTACATTTTGATTGTAAGTCTGAATTTTGACCTTTATAGTGAAATTCTTCAGAATTCTGACTCTTAGTTTTATAAATTCGAATATTTCCTCAGAATTATTTTTTCCTGAGTTCTGACATTTCTTATCAGAATTCTGACTTTTTACATCAGAACTCTGTTTTTTTGTTTTGCTTTTTCAAAATTCTGGTATGTTACCTCAGAATTCTAACTATTCCCCTGAGACTTTTGACAGTTTTTTTTCTCAAAATTCAGAATTTTTTCTTAGAATTAAGATTTTGTTTCTACAAATTCTGACTTTTCCTTTCATAATTATGACTTTTAATCCCAGAATTATGAAGTTAGACCCCAAATTCCTATTCTGTGTCCATATATATCAAAATCCCCGCCCCCCCAAAAAACCATACATTCTTATGTGTATGTCAGATATGTTGCTTGTATATGAAAAATAATTACATAATCTTTTCTTCCGTGTTACAGGATTTGTAAACCTTCACGTTATCCACACTGAAAACCCATTTCAGATTTAATTAGTATATTTTATGACTAGATTTGTTTGATGGTGCAAAAACCGTTTTTATTCAGAGAAAAGTCGGGATTATGTGATTAAAGTCATATTTTTTTCAGTGGCCTTAATCGCTTTTCTTAAAAAAAGATTTGTTTTTCTTCACCTGATCATCGGGGGTCTGGAACCTGCAGCTTCAGACCCTCCAGTGGCTCTTTGGACATTCCACAATGGCTCCTAATAACATGGCTGAAATACTGAAGAACTTACTCATGTTTTTTTACTACCAAAAAGTACACTTTAGGAGTATCTAATAGAACAGTTGCATTGAATTTCCACAAAACACACATCCAGTAGGTCTGTCTAGGTTTAGTGAGCCTCCACGTCATCTGAATCAGTTGTCCCATCTCGTGTTTGCGTGTGTTCAGGTGTTGATGCTGCGACGCTGTCTTACGTGGCTCCGGGCCACCTGGGTGGTCAGAGTCCTTCCTCTGGACCAGAACATCCTGCTGCATCAGATCGTCGGCTACGCCATCCTCTTCTTCACACTCGTGCACACAGCGGCACACATCATCAACTTTGGTACTCAGCATAAACACGACCTGATAATCAGTAACGAGTTTTTTCAGGGTGTCCTCACATCCTTGTAAAAAGTCTAAAATGTATTTATTCTAAATAAATGATTTAAGTTGATTTTTTTAAAAGTAAGTTGTCTTTTAATATGTTAATCACGGATCTTAAATTTTGTCCTGACATGACAATTTAATCCTGTATTTTGTGTGTATTTTTTCTGTCCGGTAGGACGAAATATTTGGGCCAAATTAAGGAAATAAAAATAACAAAATTACAAGAAAAAAGTGATAAGACAACAAAGTCAAAATAATACAAGAATAAAGCAGTAATAATAGGAGTAGTAAAAACACCAGAATAAAGTCATAGCTGGAAATTTTCAATCAACCTTGTTTCAATTTGAAAATAAGATTGTAGTATTACGAGAATAAAGTCGTAATTTTGCGACGTTATTCTTCTAATAGAACTTTATTCACATAATATTGACATTATTTTCTTACTTTATTCTCATTATTTTAAAGTTTGAGAGGCATTCAGACATATTTATTGCGTTTTTATGTGGCTGTGAATCATGTTGAGTTCAGGCGACCGTTAACTGACTGCTAGCATACACTTGCTAACTAGCTCGATGGCTAGCTTGTTAGCTCATTTCCGTTTATCTCGGGAAAGTTCGAATTTATCGGCAGTTTGCTGGACAACGTTCGTTCATTTCAATTGATAGATCTCAAATTCTACTCATAATTGTCTTTAAACGTTTTAAAATGTTACATTTGAGTTTGTGAACCCTGCAGAAACCCTGTTTTTACAAAAAGCTAATTACACTTTGACGCCTTGTATCTCAGCCCGGAAGTCGCAGAGCGGGGAGTTCAGCCTGTGGGAGTACCTGCTGACCACCAGGCCGGGGATCGGCTGGGTGAAGGGGACCTCGTCGCTGACCGGGGTCATCCTGCAGCTGCTTATCTGCCTCATGGTTTTCTGCTCCAGCACCTTCGTCCGTCGCAGCGGACACTTCGAGGTCTGAGTCTGTAGAAACTTACCCTGACCTTTGAACTCCTATTTTACTCGATTAAAATTTCGCTTCACGGACAGCTCGGGCTTTCTTCCGTTTACAAGGATTCCCTCCAGTACAATTTTTTTTTCGAGCCAATCAGCGAATGGAAGAAGAAAATTGTGACTCATTATGACTTGATTTTCTTTGTCTGTCTGTAGTTTTTGCAAGTTTTAGCTGTTCACTTTGTGATTGTCATACTTCCAAATATTGAATTAACATTAACAGCCATCATGGAGGATGGTTGCTTGCATATGCAATATGCAATTTCTGGTAAGCTTCATGGCATCCAAATGGCCCTTTACACTCATCATAGTCAAAAATTATCTATTGGGTAATAAGGATGGGCGATGAGGACTTAAAGTTTTATCAGGATACTTTGTAGAAATATAAGGGCGCACTGATTTCAGTTTTCTGGCCGATGATCAATTACGATCTTTAAAAAGCCTCACCTGCCAATTCTGATTTTGGCCAATACCAATTTTTTTGTTTCAAATGTTAAATATAGAAAAAACAATTGCTGAGTTGGTAACAGCCCACTGTTACCAACTCAGCAAACTATTGTTAACTACAAACATGACCTGGTGGGCTGGTCCTAACAGGAGAGCAGAAGAGGACAGAGATTGATTTTTAGACCTTTGCCAAATGAGATAAGATTGGGAGATAAGATCAGTTTCACATTTCAGAATTGGCCGAGCATCAATCTCCCAAAATAAAGGAAATCAGCAAAGACAAATTGGTGCACCCCTATTATAAACAATAAAATATAAAATATCCTCATTAATTCATTCATCTGAACCCTAGTCATACAGATTAATGTGATTTGTATCACTGAACTGCACACAATGACTGCATTGAATCATATTTTGATTCAACGTTTTTGAACAAACAATGGAAAAAATAGGAAAAATTTAAACACAGAGAACACGGACATTTTGGAGATTTAACTGGGATTTACTGTGAAAAACCTGTTGTGTTTCTTCCAGGTGTTCTATTGGACTCACCTGTCTTACATCTGGGTTTGGATCCTCCTCATTATTCATTGTGCAAACTTCTGGAAGTGGTTTGTGGTTCCAGGCTTCGTCTTCTTGCTGGAGAAGATCGTGGGAATCGCCGTGTCTCGTATCGGAGGCCTTTACATCGTAGAAGTCAACCTGCTGCCATCCAAGGTGCACAAAACAAACGTCCACTCCAGTAGTGTCCTGAAGTGATTGCAGGCAACAGAAATAAGATTTTCTATTTTAAAATCATGAAATTTGTGATTTTTTTTTTTAGAATCTGCCCATGCAATATTGAAGATTTTCCTCTTATTTACATTTTTCCCCATTCCTTTTTCCTGATTTTCCTTTTCTATTCTTTTTTTAGCCATTTTTCTTTCATTGGGGGATAATGAAAGAAACTTTTCCCCCTTTTCCTTTATTTTCTTTTTTTTTCATTTTTATCTTTATTCTTTCTGTTTTTTTAAAGGCACAAGTTGATTTGACACATTCTGATATGTTTGGTTAATTTTAAATACATAGCAAATGTTAACCACATAAATCATTTTTACTTAACAATATAATATATTTTGCATATTTTTATGTAGCAGAGATCAGACTGATAATGTTTGAACCAATCTCTTCTTGCATTTTTCTGTATCAAATCTGCTCTCTGTTCCTGAATTAACCAGGTGACTCACCTGGTGATCAGGCGACCCCAGTTCTTCCAGTTTAAACCTGGAGATTACATCTACATCAACATCCCAGTGATTGCCAAGTACGAGTGGCACCCGTTCACCATTAGCAGCGCCCCCGAGCAGCCAGGTGTGAACAGACATTCACCTCCTTTCTCATTAAAATACACCTGAATCCTTTCAGGAAGTCAAAACTTTTCTAAAGTTTAAATTCTCAGCTGGTCACATTCAGTTTTGAAATTTGTTTGGATTTTGTCACCAATAAAAGTACCACTTTGTGACTCAGAAAGCATAATAACATGACTTGTCTGTTCATGACCTCTGACCTGCAGACACTATGTGGTTACATGTGCGCTCCATGGGCCAGTGGACCAACCGGCTGTACGAATACTTCAGACAGCCAGAGAGCCAGGCGGTTTGTCCCAAGCGGCTGGCCACCAGTCTGCGGAAGCGGCGCCAGGAGAAGAGACAGCAGGTAGGAACGTCTGGACGCTCTGCAACTGGTTCCAGTTGTACCCAGAACTGGAAAATTCCAACTTCCCAGCTGGGAAAAAATTTGGAAAAATGACACAAGTGTACATCTTTGAAAAACAGAACCAACGAGAATGGAGTAAGTGGTTTCTGGATGATAAGTCAACAACAAAACATCTGCCTTTTCCAGCAGCCATTGTACGGCACATACACCAGCAAACCCAGCTGACCAAAGGAGCTGGAGCTCACTGGGTTGCTAGGTGACGGGTGGAACTCTGCTGGGTTTGCTGGGTAACGAACAAGGCCTGCTGATTTATGACGTTACATTATGGAGGTCTTTAAAACAAGTAAACAACAGCAAGATGATTTTTTAATTGCTGTGGTGTTTTTAGAAGCAATTGAGACCAAATTGTTGTTATTCTACAATAACTCCTTAATTAAACAAGTTATAACAATATTTACTGTCCCTTTGGGATAATAAAGTATTTTTGAATTTTGTTTGAATTAAATTGGACAATAACTGAAACACAGTATTTATCACTGACATCTGTGCTCCTCAGAAGGACCAGATGTTCCTCTCCTCAGAGTCACAGAAATCTGTGGCTTCGAACCAGGTTGACACCATTGAGCTGACGATGTTCCGGCAGAACGGGTCGCAGTCCGGATCGGCTTCAGACCCAGAGATTCTGGTGGAGTTACCTCTGGAGGAGCCTGAGCTGACAGAAAGAGGAGAGGTCACACCGCTCAGAGAGGTCAGAGCTGCTGACTGGCTGGCTAGATAACAGTACCGGTTCTGAGACAGATCCGAAGGAGAGGAGACGTTATGCTAGAGGGGCGTGCCTCTAACACCCAAAATTACACTGAAACACTGCAGGTTTTTAAAACGGTTCCTCGTTTAAAAGCATCCCTCTGTCAGAAAATCAGCTGAGTGCAGCATCGCTGTTCAGAGAAGATCTGAACTATCGGTTTTCAATCAGACTATCGGATGAAATCTGATAAAATCTGATTTCATCTGAAGTTTAAATGTAAACAAGTGAAAAAATATATTTGGTTTATTTGTATCAACTGACATCCATCCATCATCATCTTACAAACATGTTTTTATTACAGCCTAATAATCTGTAGGGAATCAGTACAGTGTATTGTAAATGTAAACTGTAAAATCCTCTCTGTTTAAAGATATTTTAACTCTCAGGTCTGATCCTCTGCTTCTTGTTTTACCTGCAGGTTTCTGCCAAGGCTGGTGAGAATCACCGATTCTGCAACATAAAGGTACCAGTCTGATACCTGATAAATATCTGCACTGTTTATGTCGATTCAAAGTGTGAAGATGGTTGTGAACCGACAGAAAATATTCCTCCCTATCTCTGTTTTATGATGTTTCTGTTTGGAGTTTAGATGGCTTACATCATTATGCCGAACTGTTGCATAACAATCCGTTATTTCATTTTATTTCAGCCAGAGACTTTTAGATTTTATATGATGGAACAACACAAACGGCTGAATAACTGTGCAGTGATAAGATACGGTGATGTTGCAATATCACAAAAAGTGTATTTGTCAGGACTGATGATTCTGAGGAGAGATGCGGCTATACGATATTCATATCTGTATCGATCTTAATATTGAGAAAAATTCTAGATCGAGTATCAGTGACGATGTTCCTGATCTATAAGGGCAGATCTATTCAGTCTAATTCTATGCTTTGTGTTCTGAGTGGCGCCTTGCTTTATTTATTTATTTGACTTTACATTTAAAATTCCTTATTATACTTTCTGAACCATTTGAAGGAAGATTTGTTGCAGTTTAATTTTACATGTTTTACAGAAGTAAATAATATTGTTTTTGTCAGTTTTAGTTGCTTAAAGAAAATAAGCATTTCAAGTCAACTCAGTGATGTATCGGCGATACCAAACCTCAGCTATCGGTATCAGATGTGAAGAAAGTGTATTGGTGCATCCTGAGTTCTGAGTGTGTTTGTTCTATGCGTCAGTGTTACGTAGATGGACCGTACGGGACTCCGACCCGGCAGATCTTCGCCTCGGAACACGCTGTGCTAATCGGAGCAGGAATAGGAATCACGCCTTTTGCCTCCATCCTGCAAAGCATCATGTACCGGTGAGAAAACCCTCCAATGCTCAGTCCATCCCCAGTCCTCTGGTCCATTAATCCAGGTTTAGAGTGGAGTAATCACATTTCCTCTCTGCAGGGCTTCCTGTCTGCTCTGATTTTAATGAGAGCCACCTGTCTATAACCTGGTTGTTGTTCTACCTCAGGTACCGCATGAGGAAGCACACCTATCCCAACTGTAGCTCCTCAGGGTGTGAAAACGTTAAAGACAGCGACATGAGGCTGCGTAAGGTGAGAACACGTCGTCCTTCAGTCTGTCCTGAGACATTAACACGTCCGATCTGACGTGTTTCCATCTGTTTCCACTCTGCAGGTCGACTTCATCTGGATCAATAGAGACCAGAAGTCCTTCGAATGGTTTGTTAGTTTGCTGACTAAGCTGGAGATGGAGCAGGCGGATGGGGAGCCGGAAGGTGAGAGTAAATACCTGCAGCTGGTCACAAAAAGATGAGCTGATTGAGAACTACACTGCAAGGATGAGGAAAGAATGGATACAGATGTTATCATGTTATGAAAACAACTAGAACACTTACAATTAATTGTTGATTAAAGATATAATAAATTAAAATTAGTTTCAATCCATTGATGTCTTTTAGTCTTGCAGTTTGGACGCCATCCAGCAGAGGGCGTCAATGGTCATCCTTATTCTCAGCCTAGGAACAAAGATGGCGGCCATACCAGAATGTGAAAAAGAAATTGTCCAAATAGAGTCCAATTTGGGATGAAAATGCACTTTATGTTATCCTGTTCAGAAATATAAACATTCAAGAAGTTCCTTGAATGTTTATTTTGGCTGAATGAGTGCTATTTGTCACCTTAATAGCGCTCATTCAGCCGACGGGTTTCAACTTCTCAACCAAAAACTACTGACATGTTCCAAAGATTAGAATATGATGATAGAAAAGCAAAGTAGATGTTGGAGAAAAAAAATTAACATGATGGAAAAAACACAATGGCAATAATCCAGGATTTAGCATTCCTTCAAGGCCAACCACAGTTCTGTATGAATATTTCTGTTCATTGGGGAATTAAGTGTTTCATATATTTTATTCTTTTCATTTTTATTTTTCTATTCAGTAATATAACAAGTTCCTGTTTTGCAGTTACATCACAGCAGCAGCTCAGCTTTCATTGACTCATAAATGTCCATGTTGTTGCATCGTTTTGTCATCTCCTCAAAAAGGTTGAAGTCGAGTTTATTAACACAGCTGCTGTTTGCCAGGTCAGTTCCTGGAAATGCACATGTACATGACCTCAGCGCTCAGCAAGAACGACATGAAGGCCATCGGCCTGCAGATGGCGCTCGACCTTCTAGCCAAGAAAGAGGAGAAAGACTCAATCACAGGTCTGAGGACCAGAACTCAGCCAGGCCGACCCGAATGGGAGAAGGTGAGAATCCATCAGAGGATGATGATGATTCACTTATTAAACAAACTATTAGTTCATGTCTGACATTTGTTCATTTATCTCAAAGGTGTGGTGCTGAAAAAGATTGAAAACTTAACTTTTAAAATGCTTAAAAAGTTCTTGAATTTTGCTGAGGGGAAAGTGAACGAACCATCTGTCTGGTCTTCAGTTGTTTGTTTTTCCATCTGTCAGGTTTTCCAGAAACTGTCAGAGGAAAACAAAGGAAAAGTTCACGTGTTTTACTGCGGCGCTCCGGCTTTGGCTAAAGTCATCAAAGCTCAGTGTGAACACTTCGGCTTCAACTTCTACAAGGAAAACTTCTGAGGATGTCTTTGTTCGTTTGATTTTATATTTCTATTAGCATAAAACCTGACAGAACACCAGCTAAAGGAAGCAAACTGCAGTCCCACTAAAGATTTAAGACTTTTTTACTTAGAGTTAAGTTTTAGGGATTAAGTTATAATGCTTAAAGTCTGCTCTGTAAATGGAATATGCCTAAATATAAATTATGGTTGTTGGAATTAAAAGTGATGTTTTTTTTTATTTAAAAAAATAAAAACCATAATCCATAAATCTCAGTTATTCATTTTTTACAGATAGTCTTTATTAAATTAAATAAATGGATAAATTACACACATTGATTCAGTCTACTTTAAGCATTTCTTTTCCTGGTATAATGCCTTGCCTCTCATTCCTCGCAAACCTGTCATCATTCCTGTAAGCTACGGCTCTCTTCCACACTTTTTCCTTCCACTCAACTTTCTACCGCTATGTTACAGCACAGTAAAAAAACAACTTCTTGAGCAATGATCTGTGGTGACTTGTGAAAGTCCATAGCATAATTTTGTAATCCACAAATAGTTTGAGTTTATTTCTGATTAATTTTATCACTAAAATGAAGGAACTTTTAACGCTAATCTAATTATTGGAATTAACCTGGTTCTACCCGTATGTCTGTTAGTTAAGATAATTTTTTTTTTGCTAATCTTTTTTTTTTTGTGACTTATTTTTAGATTACATCAGTCGATGATGTGTAAACCGTTTGACTCTGATTTTATGCAGTCCATTTAAGGAGCGCCAGTCGACTAAAGAGCAGTTTCTCTGATTAACAAAACAGCCTAATTTTCTGGTAGCTTTATTGTTTGAGAATTCGTGCCGACGGCATACACCAAGGTCAACGCTAATATTTCAGATTTGGGCCTTACGTTGGTGATTTATATTAAAAATATCATCCTTACATTAGTAGAGTTCGATTACTCGGCGATCTGGGTGCCAACCTGCGGAGTTAGCCTGGTTAGCCGTTAGCTGGATGCGCAGCAGCAGAGTGCCGTCTGGCAGCTATCAAACCATCGGACCAATGTCTAATAAATTAACCTGGATTTGTTTTACCTCGTTGGAGACGAACGTTGGCCGCTAATCTTCACGGAGCCTGCCCAGCCGTGTGACCCGAACACGCGGATGTTTCTGTCTGACGGTTTATTGTTCAGCGGCTAACCGAAGCTAGCCTGTTAGCAGCTAACCCATTAGCAGCTGATGTGAAGGTAGGCCGAGCTCCGATGATTTGGCTTTAAATGCGATTTTTCTTTCATTCTGTGATTTAAATCCTGGGTTTATACTTTAATCTTTTACTATAGATTTTTATAATCAATATTTAGAAACACTGGATATATTTAAACATCAATTAATGTAGGTTTTAACTACATCTAAAGGTTAGCTGGACATATTGAGCTAACATCACCAGATTAACGATTACTGGTTTGTTAGTGTCTCTTAGATTAGTTAGTGGCTTTGTTGTAAATAAACTATGCTTGAGTGACTCGGTACATTAAACTCCAGCTGATGTTGACATTTATAAAGTTTTTAGGTATTAGAGAGTCGAAGTTAAACACAAACAGTATGCAAAATGGATTTATTCAAACCTTATTTCTCGGTATCACACAAGAATATTCAAACAAAAGACCAGCAGCAGTAAATAATATACAAATTCAACATTTTTGCGTAAAACTATAACTCTAAACAATAAAAAATATGTCTTTAAATACTGTGAAATGAGATAATTTCACATAAAGGAGAGTTTTTCTTCAGGTCAACATCCCAGCTTGCAGAAACTGTTCCTGAATCAGATTCTTGGAATCTGGAACCTCCTGTTACTTCTGCCTCATGGCAGGAGTAGGAAATGATCTTCTGCTCCAACATAGCTCTCTTCAGAAATCCTGGATGGCTTCAGATCTCTTCTGGCATCATGCTGAGCTCATCAAATCATTGTAGCTGCCCCACCATGATGCAGAAGTTCCTGGAGCCCTGATGAATCTGTGATCAGAATCAGGATCCTTTGTTTCCAGATAAGAAGTAGGACATATAATTTAAAAAAATAAGACATAAATTAAGTGAAGAGGGCAACACATCCATCTCAGGTAAATCAAAGTCTGTCACCATAAGTAATACATCAATAAATTGCATAATAAATAAAAATAGGTATGATACAGTATTTTCCATTTGCGTGTATATTTTGTAGTTTGCCTAATGGTTAATGTAATGCTGGCCTTTAATATTGAAAAGCCACCATTTTGAAAAATCCAGCAAACTTTTGACCCGCAGTACAATATGGTTAGTTTGACTCTTAATTTTGTTACAAAAGTTCTGACTGGAAGTTTTGCTTGTGTTTTCCGGTCTGAGCTTAATGATTCCTATGTTGTTTTGTTTAGACGTCATAATCTATTTTGCTTATTGTTTCAGTGGTTTGGTTGATTTATTTTGCATATTTAAAATGTGTTCCTGTTCCAGTGATTGTGTTCCTTTTATTAATACTGATATGTCGCTCATTTTTACTGGAAACTGTTTTCTTTCCAGTTAACCAGGAATTTTTGCTGTTTATCTCTGATTGACTGTAATAGTTTGAAGCCTAGATTGAAATCAGATCTTTGTTATAAAATGGCCGCTGTTTGGTCTGATTGGTTCACTTTGATTTATGAAGTAAGACCGGTCATAAGAATATGGTAGTTGTTGGGAAATGTAAAGTGTTGGCTCATTAGCTATTTTTTAAATAATCATAAAGCTCCATGTCCGAGTTATTACTGCATTTTCTCAGCTATAATGGGAGTTCGGGTTGATTATAATTTCTTGTGACTATTGTCCTCCTGATCAGATTTACTTTCTTTGTTACCGGAAGATGCTGGGAATGTTGTTTGCTGATTTCAGTTTTCATGGCTCACTTTGACCTGCAGTCCTCAATCCAGACATTTATTTTAATTGAAATAAAAAGTGTCCAGTGTTGTGCGTTTTAGTCATGCATCGACAAGTGAGAAAAACGTCATTATAACTAAAGGAAAATGCAGATCGTCCATTAACTCGGTTTGTGCTTTTCAGATGGGATTAGGAAGAAGTTGGAGAAACTGAACAGAAGGTAAAAACCTTAAAGTGAAAAGCAAAGCTACAGTCTGGCTAGGATTTAATTCAGGATCTTCCTGCTGTTTCTCTCTGTGTGAAACTTGTTAATATTATTATTACAGCACCTAAAGTGGAGGAAAATTCCTCCCTTAATGTGATTTACAGTCACATTAAGGGATCTGCACTGACTACTCATTCAAATAGAGCAGTGTGTTACGGACAAAAATGTTATATTTCCATTTACGTTATATTTCTGCTATTTCAATAATTACATAAGCCTGTCACAATAAGCTATCCATTAATCACCTGATCATTTAAAACAAACTTAATAATTTTCATTCTGATATGTTTTGAAGGGTAATATTGATAATGTTTAGGAAGGCCAATAATCCATTTTATTTATGGTTTCTATTGTGTGTGTGTTTTTTAATAGTTTCATTGTTTTTATGGTTTATTTTGGATACATTTTACAAAATCAAAATGTATTGGTTTTTGAGAGGGAAGACTTGTATCATTGACATTGACAATTTACGTAGACATAAAGTCTTATATTGCAATATTTTATTGTCCAGTAAAATTTATCATGTGACAGGCCTATTATCACAATATGATTTCAGATTAGCACTTTTCATTACAAACTGCAATGACAAATTAAAATAAACCTTAACTACTAATAACATTAAAAGTTACAAACCTTTCCATTAAGCGCTGTAGATCAAAAATAAACAAGATTAAAAACATATATACTTCCTAATCTATTGGTTTGATGATGAACAAAATAAATTTGCAGCTGTTTAAGCATAATGTAATTATAATTTACACAAACTGGTTGCAAAATATGTCACATCACATTATGAATGTGTTCTGCATTCACATCACAAATAAATCGTTTTTCTCTTTTCTCTTTCAACCAAAAACTGGATGACAAAAGTTCTTTGCTTTCAACGAGTCCAGCTTTTTTTTTCCTCTTTTTTTTGGAGGACATTTTGTTTACAGAGATTTCATAACTTATTTTATTTAATATATGCTTATTTATTTTGGATATTTGAAATGTCTTCCAATATTGTCGCAGTAACGTCTGGAACAATATATCGCCCAAAAATGTATGAGTTATCAGGCCTAAATATATTGATATTGCAACTGTTATGCTCAGTGCAATATTTTCTCATATTCTGCAGCCCTGCTTCTCTATCTTGTAAAAATACTTAAATGTTTTTAAGTATTTTTCTTAATCAACTTCTAAGCTTTTTTTTTTTATCATTTCTGTCATTTTTTTCCTCAGTAAAATATTTTACTTTTACTTCCTTCCCTCTCCTCTGCCTGAGATTGATGCTTTAAATCCAGGTGTTACCCCGATTCGCCCCGCTCTCTGAATGAAACCCATATGCTTCGGCGGGGTCAGCGAAAGGTCACGCATTAACCAGGTTCAGCTGTGTGGCTTATTCTGATCTTAGGCGCTTTATACCGACGTGTTTACTCCTTAATCTGGCGGTGACACATCATCTGGCGACACTGTTCATTCCTCAGCTGATACTGAGTGGTAGCGGTGTGTGTGGGTGTGTGTGTGTGGACAGGAGTAAGATATGCCACTCTAAATAAAGCTTTGTGTTAATTTCAGATGGGATCAGTTTTAGAAGTCAGGTAGGATCTGTTCGTGTGAATTATGTCAATAATCAATAAATCGCTTAATGGCATTTTGTTAAAACAAGCTCAATAATTACCATTTGCATGAATTTTTGTCTCCTCTTAATTTTTCTCTTGTTTCTTCCAAAAACTGGAAGAAAGTTTCAGTCTTATGCTTTCATCTCAACTAAACCTTTTAATTTTTAAGGACAATTTCTGGATATTTAAAATTTCTTCCAGTTCCAGTGTTAAATGTTCCTCAGAATTTAAAGTTTATTGGCTTTGAAAACGTGTACTTTCATTATTACATCAATATCACAGGGTTTCCCCCAGAAGACTTGCTAAGCCTGGTGGCCCGCCAGGCTTATAATGCACTATGGCCAGTCCTGTATCATTATATTATTTGAAAATGATCTCAGAACAACAGTGTTGTTGTTTATTTCAATAACTTCTGGGACAATTTAGCTGTAATATATTTCTTGTTTTTACATGGTCAATAAGCAAAACAAAATTTTATACTGATTCTGATAAATATCAGAATGTTGTTTGTTTTAATAACATTCTGATATAATATTCTGATGAAAATGCTTTCACATGTTTGCCACATTTGAGAAGAACAAAGTGAAAATGCCTTGATTCTTCATCTTCATGTAGATTATCTCAGCAACAAGAACAGGAAGTGGGTCAGTCTTGAGGAAGTTTTGTCTTATTTAGCAGAGTTTATCACTGGTTCCATGCAGGTCTGCTTTTGATGAATCTGTGGTTCTATTTACTCTAAAACAAAGTTGCAAGTGAAAAATGTGGTCAGAAGATTTTAATTTGTATCAGTTTTGAAAGCTCAGGCCTTTAACAATGAAATAACAAAACGGTATGCCTGAATCAATCTACCTGGACCCGTGAAACGAGTTTATTTGGCTCACAAATGGCCCCTGAGCCACACTTTGGACAGCCCTGAGCTAACATTATTTTTACAGCTGATTTTGAACTTTTCTCCGCTTAGGATCCTATTTTCTTTTTGGTTTAGAAAAGAACAGAATGAACATATTCAGATTTTTTTTCTCCTTTTTGTGAAGCTGCTGAACTTTTATATCTTTTTTAAATAAAATTTTCCACCTTTAATCAAATATCTGGAGCATATAGATAATAGAATTATGGTGAAAATATTTTCTGAATTGATTTGTTTCTGTCATAGCCTGGCTTCTGCATGGCGACAACAGACTGACGGCAACAGGAGAGAGCAGCCAATCAGCTGAGGCCCGCCCCTTAGCAACATGGCGTCCCGTCAGAGGAACTCGGTCCGGATCCTGTCGAGCCGGGAGCGGGGATCCCAGACGTTCGGCTCGCAGCGGCTTCTGCAGCTGCTGGTGGAGGAGAAGGTCCGCTGGATGAAATGGCAGAGTCAGGTGGGTTAAAAAAGTTCAAGTCCCAACAGCTTGGATTTAATTAAACTGGACATCCTCAGCACATAAATGCTGCAATCAAGTGCAGCCTTCCACCAGACTCCTAGTGTTCTCCTCATCATCCATTTTGAATGGCAATAAACACAGAAATATATTAATGGCTTCATAAAGTAATCTGGGCATCCAAACAAATAAAAAAATACTTATTTTATTTGATCACGCAGTGTAGCAAAATGTATATTATTTTAACATGTCACTGTTTAAGTTTAAATTTTTTTTATATCATTTTTGTATTTGACTGTCAGATTTTATTTTAATTTTTGTTGTTTTTTTTTTTCTGCATATTTTGTATTTCTTTACCCTCGTATTATCTTTCACGTTTTCACGAAGAATCAGAACGAAAAAGAGAAAATGATTTTAAAAAATTAATCTTCAAATAAATGGAAAAAGAGAGGAGGAAAAAATAAATCAATGTATAATTAAAAAGTGACCAAAAATAAAGTACAAAATGCATACAGATAATAGATAGATTAAAAAAATTACATTTATAAAATGAAAAATGGAAATGAAATGGAAAATTTAATAATACAAATCATTTTAAATTAATACTGTTGAAAATGATAAACACTGATTCACTTAAATAAACAGGAAAGTGAAATCAAAATTATTTTTATCAAGTCATTTATTCATTTTTATGTTTATTGACCGATTTTGTCAAGATCAGTCCTCCACAGCCACCTGTAAAGGTCTCATATTTTTCAGCCATCTTGTTTTTTGTTATTATTAATAGGCCATTAATTTAAAGAGTTTGAAATAACAGATGTTTTAGGATTATTCATTTATTCTGGATTGAGTTTAAATGTTTTGGTTTGTGTCTCTTCTAGAAAGTGGAGCTTCCAGACAGCCCTCGATCAACGTTCCTGCTGGCCTTCAGCCCGGACAGGTCACACACACACCATGCATGGACACACACACACATACACACGCATGCAGACACACACACGCACGCCTTCAAAAGACTTTTGTCTGCACTACAAAAATGCTTTTAAAAACATTAGACCAAAGCAAACTCTTGGATTTTAGATTAAAATATTAAGCTTTTAAGCTTTGATTGGCTTTTTATTTCTACATTAGCATCCTTTGTCAATTAGATTTCATCTGTCAGAAATTAAACCTCTTAACTTCTTCCTCCGTGGTCAAGATGGGCAGCGACAGAACGAGTGAGGTGAATCAAAGAGCCGTCTTCTGGCAACCCAACCAGAAGATTTAACCCTCCAAAACGCTGCGTCACACTGAGGCTTTAAATAAAAACATGTTTAGTTTTAGTTCAGACCTATAGGAAAATATGAAATGGCTCTGAGTTCCAGAATAATGAATAAAGTCTCCATGTTTTCGGTTATGCCGACTTAAATGTTAAAACCAAATGGATCATTAATGATTGAAACTGCCTCATTTGTCCCTGCAGGTCTTTAATGGCCTCCACACACGTCAACCACAACATCTACATAACGGAGGTGAAGACTGGAAAGTGCCTCCATTCCTTAGTGGGCCACCGAAGAACCCCCTGGTGTGTGACCTTTCACCCCACCATTCCTGGCTTGGTGGCTTCTGGGTGCCTTGATGGGGAAGTCCGCATTTGGGACCTGCATGTGAGTGCAGAATAAATTGAGACTGTTTCAGGAAATCTCTTCGTCTTTGTCCAGAAAGAAGTTAAACTAAGAAGACATTCAGTACGACTAGAAGGAATCCTGAACCAAATAAAGTAAAACTTTTTTTAAAAAAAGTGAGAAATGTTGCAGTTTGAGATTTGGATCAGATCAGATTTGGTTTGGATCATCTAAAGTTTTACTTTTTGCTTGCAAATATTATAACAAAAAACAGACTTATTTAATTTTGGGCTGAAACGATTAATATGATTAATTGATTATTGAAATAATTGTAACTAATTTACAAATTCATAAATATTGACTGGAACATGTATGTCAGAAATGGCTATTTGATGAAAAGCAGTACATTCAGAGCAGGAATAAAGCCAAATCTGTGCAAAAATATAAATATGTTGTCTGTAAGTAAGTTCTACCCAGAACGTTTCTTGGAACATAGTTTTAGCTTCACCGCTGCAAATTCTGTTGAAAATAATCTCCTGCTGAGCACTTTTTGTCATCCAATTATTATCGAATTATTAATAATTTAATCCAAAAAATAATCATCAGTTTAGGTCTGTGTTGATGTTAAGCCAAGCAGAAATGACTGAACAATTTAGATGTTCATGTTAGAAGTATTTTTGCTTTAATCTTCAAGCATACAGAAAAGAAATGCAGTGTTATTGCATTTTAGGCAATAAAATGTTTCTTATTTAAAAAAGAAGTTGAAAAAAAATACCAAAGGCACCATTTCTTTTATCTAATTAATCATTTTTTAAAATAATCTTTAGTTTTATTCTTCTCATTATCCAACAAAAGTCTTAATTCATAATGTTACATTTAAAAATTCATGACATTATTCTTACATTGAAAAACAAAAAACTTGAACTTCTCGTATCGTACCTTTAACATAAAATTTGTCATAAAAAACAACAATATTTCAACTGCATTTATTTAAATCAGAAACGTCTGAATTGTGACTGAATGAAAACGGGAATAAAAGCATTAAAAACATACCAGTACAAATAGTTTATTTCCATTCCTTTATCTGGCTGAACTGGGTGATTTGCTTTCAGGGCGGCAGTGAGAACTGGTTTACGGAGAGCAACGTGGCCATCGCCTCTCTGGCCTTCCACCCGACCGCCCAGCTCCTCCTGATCGCCACCAACAACGAGCTTCACTTCTGGGACTGGAGCCGCCCGGAGCCGTTCGCCGTGGTCAAGACGGGCAGCGACATGGAACGAGTGAGGTGGGTCGCCACGATGCGAGGCCGGGAACCCAACCGGAAGATTTGAGCCTCCAAAACGCTGCAGCACACAAAGGCTTTAAATAAAAACATGTTTAGTTTTAGTTCAGGCCTTTTGGACGTGAGCTTCTGTTCAGTTTTAGGTGAGCGCAATATTGCCCAGAAATGATATATTTTTTAAAATATTTTGATAAGAGACAATATTCCACATTTTCTGCTTATTCTTTTTTTTGGGAGGGTGAGGAGAAGGAATTTTATAATATATTTTTATTTTTAATACACACATGATATATTTAATCAGTAAAAGAAAATAAACTAATTTGGCTAAAAAAACCCCATCCTGAAATAAAAATGCATAAATTAAACAAACTGTTGTGGTTCAACAGAACATTAGTTGTAAATTTTCTGTTGTGATGACAAAATCATAAAACCCTTCATTAAACAAAACGACAAACTATCCCTTTAAATAAAAGTGTAAAAAATAAAAGTCCTGTTTTGTTGTTTGTTCCAGGTTGGTGAGATTTGATCCTCTGGGTCACAACCTGCTCACCGCGATTGTGAATCCGTCCAATCAGCAGGTGAGTTGTGCAAAAATTCCCAAATCTTCTGGCATGTTGCAGTTTCACCGAAAGACGTCGACTTTTATACTTTTCAGTTTATTTCTGACCCTTTAGCTCAAATCGGCAAGAAGGCTTTCATTCCCTGCGCTCGCTCTTAATCAAACTCCTTACCTTTAGATTGACTGAACTCGCCTTGTTGAGTAACTTTAAATATAAACTAAAATGTCTTGAGGCAGATTGTTTTTTTTAATAGCTTTTCATTTTCTCATCTCAATGGATATTTTTATCCTGGTAAAATAAAAATTAGTTCTTAACATTTTTCTTGTAATTTTTCTCCAATGTAAGATGGGAAAAATATCATGCTTTAAGTGAAATAATCTTGCAGATGAATTAGCACTTTTTCATCAGTATTAAGGAATTATTGGCTTAAAACAAGTTCATTCCTTGCTGGAAAAGTTACTAATAAGTTAGATATTCATTGTGCTCTAAGATATTTGCCAAGTCCAGAAATACTTGGAAAGATTTAGTGTTTTGAAGTGAAGTTTTAAATTGGTGTTGATCGGTGTTTTTTAATTTTAAAGAAAATCTTCATGTTGGTCATTTTCTCGTTTGATGAGTCTCTTCTGTCCCAGAATGAGGAAGACTCTGAGGTCCCGATGGACAGCGTGGAGATGCCTCACTTCCGCCAGCGCTCCTTCCTGCCTTCCCAGCCGGTTCGCCGGACGCCAATCCTCCACAACTTCCTGCACATCTTGTCATCTTCTCGTTCCCCGGGACCCAACGTTGGAGCCGAGCAGCAGCCGCCGCCGCCGCCGCGGCCCGTAAGCGATGGCGGCAGCGGAGACAGCGAATCGCCCGGCGGTCCAAGCGGGCCCTCGCTCCCCGGCTGCACCCAGCACCTGGGCATGATGTGCATCTGCACCCGCTGCTCCGTCAGCCGGAAGCGCTGCCTGCAGACCGGCGCCTCCACAACGACACCGTCGGTTTCCACGGAGACGCCAACGCTCTCCATGGCCTCCACCTTCTCTTCGGCCCGCACGGAGCCGCGGCAGCCCTCGGAGCGGCCGTCCGCCTTCACCTCCGTCTATTACAGCGCCGGCGCCTCCCTGAACCCCATCATGCCGAACATTATGGAGCCGCTGGGCTCGGCTCGGCCCGGCCCGGATTGGACCCGCAGCCTGCTGAACATGCGGGACAGTGCGGCCGGCCCCGCCATGCTTCCTCCCAGAACCTCCTCCTCTTCCTCTGTCAGCCTGCTGTCGGTGCTCCGCCAGCAGGATGGCTCGTCCCAGTCGCCGCTCTACACCTCGGCCTCCGAGGGGCGGGGCTTCCCCCAGCAGGGGGAGCCGGGGAGCCGGGACGGCGCCGGTACGAGCAGCGGCCACCACCCGTTCTGGGACGGCGGCCGCGGCTCCTCGGCCTCCTTCCGGAACGTTCTGCAGTGCAACCTGAGCCGCTACTTCCTGGAGATCGACCGCATTGACATCGATCCGTCGCTGGGCGGCAGCATCGCCGATGGCAACCAGGAGCCGAGCCAAGAGCTGCTAAACAACAACATGGACCCGGACCGGCCGGGCCAGTCCTCCTCTTCCTCACCAACCATCATCCACTACCAGCCGCCAGCACCGCCGCCCGCCGCCCACAGCCTAGAGAACAACGTGCCGCCACCACCGCCGACCTCCAGGGGGCACCACCTGAATCGCTGCCGGGCCTGCCACAACCTGCTCACCTTCAACCAGGACTCCCAGCGCTGGGAGCGCACGCACCAGACGTCCTCCACCACCTCCTCCTCTTCCTCGCTGGATCCTCCCTCTTCTTCCTCCTCCTTCCCCTCGCCTGCCGCCGCCTGGCAGCCGGAGGAGAGCAGCAGGACGCTGGAGACCCAGGAGAGGGAGAGGAGGGCGGCGCCAGAGACCAGCGAGCAGCCGCCTCTTCCTCCAGGAGGAGGAGCGGTGACGTTCCCGCTGGCGCCGCCGCCCAGCCAGGCCGCCGAACAGACAGTGGGCCTGGTGTACAACCAGGACACGGCGCAATGGGAGAGGGTGTACCGGCAGGCCACCGCCAGCCGGGCCGTCGAGCCGCCAGAGGCCTTAAGCCAAGAAATGCCTGTTGACCCGCCGGACGAGGATTCCCTGAGGAGGTATGGCGCCGCAGTCGGCTCCAGTCCGGGATCAAAGTTATCGATTAAAGGGGCAGTATCCTGTAAAATTAACCTTTTTGAACTTTACATCATAATATGATGTTATTTCCTCAAATCATACCTGGAATGTTGCTTTGATCCTTTAATCTCCATGGGTGGATCTAGACCCACCTTCCAGGCGCAGCTCCTCCTCAGAGCTGCAGTTTCTGAGCTTTCATAATGTTCTCGATTAAAAAGCAAAAGCAGGTATTTATGGGGTGCTGATTGTAAACAGTCAAACATTAATAGCAAGCACTTGTTCAGCCAAAGAGGAATAAAAAAATCATTTGTCGACTTATATTTTATAGTTGTTAAAAAATCATAAGTAAATTTGATCTAACTTGAATTAATAAAAATGTAAGTCATATAAAAAATACAGTATCATTCATAGATGTATAAATGTCAGTTTCAAAATAAAATTGTATTTTAGTTGCAAACAAAATGTCAATAGTAGACGCGGGTTCAGTAGCTGTAGATGGTCTCTAACCTAATATCAGGAAAAACAGATATAAAAATATTATCGGCCCTTTCAGTGTCATTATGTTGTGGAAATTTTTCCATAAAACTGCTTCAAAACAGCACATAATTTCTTATATCTATTTTTGGTTTTTATTGAAGTCATTCAGAGCCATTTTGAAAGGTCCAAAGATCCACTAGATTTAGTATTTGAGGAAGGCCAGAAAAAGTCCTAAATCCGTCCAATTTTCTATTTTAACACTGAAGTTCCTCCACGCTGCAGAAATCCCGTTCTAACAACGGTCTGTTCCCGACAGGCGGCTGCTGGAGTCATCCCTGCTGTCGTTGTCTCGATACGACATGTCCGGGTCCAGAGACCATCCCATCTACCCAGACCCGGCCAGGTACCACACAGCTCTCACCTGCCAGACTTTTATTCTCCAGCGGGATAGAGCTGTTTATCAACAGGACTCTATCCAGATAAACAAAAACAAAACTGAAGTTATTATCTTTGGACCTAAAGAGGAACGATCTACAGTCAGACACAGCTTTAGTTCTTACAGCTGGAAACAAGAAATCAGACTCGAAATCTGAGATTGAGCCTTCAGAGACGCATAAAGACGGTTAAAAGTTCAGCCTTTCCAGGATTAAAGGACTAATAGAGAAACTCTTCACAGGGCTGCCTAAAGAATCAATCAGATCCAGAACACTGCTGCTGGTGTTCTGACTAAACCCAGAACATTAGAGAACATCACCCAGTTCTAAAGTCCTTCCACTGGCTCCCTGTTGTTCAGAGAGTAGACTTTAAAGTACCGCTATTAGTTTATAAAACCACTGAACGGCTTCGCATCAAAACAGATTAAAGATCTGCTGTTGTCTTCACAACCTTCCAGAACCTCTCAGGTCTTCTGGTTCTGCTCTGCATCCCCACAACCAAACATGGAGAAGCAGCATTCAGCTTCTATGCACCACAAATCTGGAACAAACGTCCAGAAAACTGCAAAACAGCCGAAACACTGAGTTCCTGTAAGCAAGACTAAAAATTAGGGATGTAAACTTGCATGTAAAACTGATCTTCTCTACCTCATCAAAGGTCTAAAAATCAGCCGCTGTCCCTTCTGCCCTGCAGTGAGAGGCCTGGCTGACTGACCGGGCCCACCAGCTCAAGTCTCCATGTTTACAGTTAACAATAGTGACCCCACAGTTACCAATTCAACAACTTTCTTGCTATATTTAACAACTTTTCAGACTAAAAACATCGGTATTGCCAGGTCAAAATTATTGAAGATGGGCGATTTGGCCAGAAACGCACCCCAACTAAAAACCCACCTGTTTAGCTTTGCCTTTGATTAGTAGTGACTGGACCATTGGTTAACTTATATGATGTGTGTCACGGATTTTTATTAACTGCCTAGTTGAGCATTTTCTATTGAAATAAACCTGACTGTGTTTGGCTGCAGAGGAACCAGTCTGTGACCTGAAGCGCTTTGTTTGCTCTGCAGGCTTTCTCCTGCAGCCTACTACGCTCAGAGGATGATCCAGTATCTGTCCAGGAGGGACAGCATCCGTCAGCGCTCCCTTCGGTACCAGCAGAACCACCGCATGCGGACCATGTCCACGTCCTCTGATAGCCCCACCCCCAACCCGTCCAGCACCATGGACAACAGCGACGTTGACTTCGAGGAGCTGGAGTTAGTGCTTACTTTGTGTTTAACTTTGCCGCAAAGTCACGATTCCTTTAGGCAGGATAAGAATCTGGAATTTAAGCAGCAGCTGTAAAATTATGCTGCAGTTTTGTGTTTTATTAGGCCTACAAATAACAAAAAACGAAAGTTACATATGTAACTACGGTTCTATGAATCCCGGATGACCGCCAGAGGGCGGTGCTGAAAGCACTGAATGTTCCCTTCGCGCATGCGCCGTTCGAGTAATAATGCCAAAAGAGTCACACCTGTGACATATCGGATGATCAATCAGAGGCTATATAGCATGACGTCATCCGATGCTCTGTTCCTACAGAATCTTCTCGCGAAATGCAAGGATTCTGAGTGACAGAGAAGCTCTGGCGGTCATCCGGGATTCATAGAACCGTAGTTACATATGTAACTTTCGTTCTATTTCATCCCTACTGACCGCCAGAGGGCGGTGCTGAAAGCACTGAATGACGAATACCAGCGATGTCACAAGGAATCCGAGCACGCACCTCACTGAGAAGGCCCAGAAGACCCTTGCAAGAGAACCTGGTCCAGAGGATGAGAGGATGCCACATTCACGTTGTAAAACCTAGTGAATGTGCTCGGAGAAGCCCACGACGCAGCAGCACATATAGCTTCCAGTGGAACTCCTCTCAAGGCGGCCCAGGAGGTGGAAACGCTCCTGGTAGAGTGCGCCGTCACGCCGACTGGCTGGGGATGGTGCCCCGCAGCGTAGGCGTGGCAAATGACATCCACAATCCAATGGGAGACGCTGTTTAGACAGAGGACAACCCAATCGAGGGCCCCCATAGCACAAGAACAGCTGGTCTGAACGTCGTAAGGCAGCAGTGGCTGCAAGATAGGCCTCCAGTGCCCTCACTGGGCACAGCAACTCAGGACCATCACCAGCGTCCCCTGAGATGGGCCGGAAACGCGCCAATTTCAACGGCTGGTTACAATAAGAAGGAGAAAACACCTTTGGGGCAAACGCCGGTTCGGCCACAAGGTGACACCAGAGCCATCCGAACTCCACCTCAGCACGATGGACTGACAGAAAGAGCATGTAGCTCACTGACCCTCTTAGCTGAGACAATAGCCAACAAAAAGGCAGTTTTACATGACAACCATTTGAGGTCCGCCTGAACCAGAGGCTCATGGAGGGAGGGGGCACGAGCACTGAGGACCAAGGACAGGTCCCAAACTGGTGCTCGCGGGGCCAGTGGAGGGCGCAGCCTACGAGCACCACGCAAAAAAAGAGAAACAAGATTATGGCTCCCCACTGTACGGCCATCAATCTCAGCATGACAAGACGATATAGCTGCCACATAGACCTTAAGTGTCGAAGGGGAGCGGCCCTCATCAAGAAGGGACTGAAGAAACTCCAAAACAGTGGGAACCGCACAGGTGACCGGATCAACATTACGGGCAAAACACCACCGGGAAAACAGACGCCATCTGTTGTCATATTGCTGACGAGTGGAGGATGCCCTCGCACTCAAAATAGTGTGCCTGACAGGAGCCGAATACCCAGTCAGCTGCAGTTCAAGCCTCCCAGTGGCCACACCCACAGCCGGAGGCGGTGAGGATTGGGATGCCATATCTGACCCCCCAACTGAGACAGTAAATCCCTCCTGGGCGGGAGACACCACGGGACACCGTGACACAGACTCCGTAGAAGTGGGAACCACGGTCGTGCCGGCCAACACGGAGCTACCAGCAACATCCTGTGGCCCTCCTCGAGCACCCTCCGAAGAGTCGGCCAAATCAGGGAAAGGGGTGGGAAGGCATATAGGAGGACCCTGGGCCAAGGATGGGCCAAGGCATCCTGGCCCAGGGCACCGGCGGCCCCTGTAAGGGAAAACCACAGAGGGCAATGAGTCGAGGCCTCTGTGGCGAACAGATCGACCTCCGCCTGACCGAAAAGGCCCCAGACCAGGCGGACCACGTCGCTGTGGAGGGACCACTCTCCCGGAGCCGGCGCCTGTCGGGAAAGGGAGTCTGCTACCTGATTGCACAACCCCGGTAAGTACACCGCCTGCAGGGTGGACAGGTGAACCGATGCCCATACCAGGAGATCCTGGGACTCCTTCAGAAGCTGCGCTGACCTGGTGCCACCTTGGTGGTTGATGTGGTAGACAACAGAGGTGTTGTCCGACCGAACCAGGACATGTCTCCCCTCCAGGCGGGGCAAAAAATGCCTGAGAGCCAAATGTACAGCACGCAGCTCCAACACATTTATATGCCTGGAGCGATCCCGCGGACACCAGCGGCCCCGAACCGCCTGGTGTTGCCACACAGCGCCCATCCCACAGAGCTGGCATCTGTCGTGACCACCTCTCTGCGACACACAATCACACCCATGGACACACCCCTGGACAAATAGGTCCTGTCTCGCCATGGACTCAGGGCGCGAAGACACAGCCATGTCACCACGAGCCTGCGGTGCCTGTGAAGCCTGGGATCCAGGTTCCAGCTGTTGACCCACCTCTGCAAAGGGCGCAGCGAGAGCAGACCCAAGGGCACAACCCGAGTAACCGATGTCAGTTTGCCCAGCAGCTGCAAGAAGGCAACGTAAGGAAGGGCCCTGCCCAGCCTGAATCGACTCACCAGCTGGAGAATGTTGTCCACCCTCTGGACAGACAGGTAGGCCATCATGGAGGGAGAATCCAAACGCACTCCAAGAAAAGTGGTTGTCTGCGATGGAATCAGACAGCTCTTCTCCAAGTTCACCCGGAGGCCCAACCGGGACACATGAGCGAGCAGGCGACTCGTATCGTGAGAAGCCTGCTCTCGAGACGGGGCGCAAAGAAGCCAATCGTCGAGGTATGGCATAACCTTCATGCCACGGGCCTGCAGAGGAGAGAGGGCTGCCTTCACGCATCGAGTGAACACCCTCGGGGAAAGGGAGAGGCCGAACGGGAGCACACGGAACTGCCAGTGGCGACCCCGATAGGCAAACCTCAGAAAACGACGATGATCTGCCGCAACAGGTACATGAAAGTAGGCGTCCGTAAGGTCGATTGAGGTAAACCAGTCCCCCTTCGTCACGGCGCGAAGAACCTCTGCCGTCGTGAGCATGTGGAACGGCAGGACCTTTAAACACTGATTGAGACCCCTGAGGTCCAAAATGGGACGAAATCCACCAGTCTTTTTCGGCACGAGGAAGTAGGTCGAATAGTAGCCTCTGGGTTGCCGCAGAGGATCCACCGCCTCGAGTGCACCCTTGGCCAGGAGGGCGGAAAGCTCCTGGTCCAAGGCCTGAGCTTTCACCGGGTCGGTGATGACGGTCTCCCTGACCCGGCGTGAGATGTGAGGCCGCCGTCGGAACTGTAGCCGGTATCCATGGGTCAGAGTGGCAACCACCCACGGATCCACAGCAAGAGCAGCCCAGTAACTGAGCTGCCGATGAGAAAAACGTCCGACGGCCGGCCCGGTGGAGTCACTTTCTCTCCCCAAGGCCCCTAGGGGCTCTGTGGGTGGGGCGGCCAAAGTCTGCGGCCCGGGAGTGCCTGGCTGGTTGACGGACCGGCCCACGAAAATCCCTCCTGGACCTCTGCTGCACCGCATGAGGCCGAAATCCACCAGGCCGATCACACCCCTGAGGCGGCGGCCGAATGCTGGGGCCAGCCGACGGGCGCCTCGGACCATGAGGAGGAGGGGGCATCCCCCTGCTGAGGCCTGAAAGCTGCTGCCTAGTCTGCCGCGCCTGAACAGAACGTTGCAGTGCATCCAAGGCAGCAGAACCGAATAACTCCCCTGGCACCACAGGAACATCACGGAGGGTCCTACGGCATGGTTCAGTCAACGTGGACTGAGCCAGCCAGACCTGTCGACGAGCCTGGACTAGAAAAGACATCACACGCCCAAGCTCCCTGGTCATCAACGCAAAGGCCTGAAGCGCTGCATCGCTAAAGCCAACAGCTGCATCAGCCCCACTGGCATCCTGAAGGGACCCAGAAAGGGCAAACATGAGGTGCGCCAAGGAATTGCCAAGGCGGCCAGCACGCGCTCCGGCATTATATGCTTTACAGAGGAAGCCATCCGTAATACGACATTGAGCCCGCGGGCACCGAACATCATCACGCAGGGCCTCGTCAGGGGACACGATGAGCGAGGCAACAGCAGGTTCGACTGCCGGCATGCGATCCAAGCCTGCCGTAACCGACTCGTGCATAGCTGCCAACACCCGACCATCGGCGGAGAGACGTGAAAAGGCCCTAGGGTCCCGCCAACAAGCATGCAACTCCCTGAGGTACTCCTCCGATGGAGGGACAGAAAAGGGGGTAGGGGCACGTCCGCGCCTGAAAAAAGCACTGCCAGGAGCGGACTCCGTCATCTGCGGGACATCCAGCTGCAACTGCCCCAAGGCCATACGCATGACGTCCTGCATGGAACTGCCACCAGAGCCACTAGCCGCACTCTGAGACGAAGAGCGTGAGCCGGTCTCCGAAGCGCGGGATGACTGTGCGTCTTCCTCCTCATGCCGAAAGTGAGAGGCAGAGGCAGCCAAAGACAGTACATCCTCCTCCACGGCCAACTCCGGCATAGGCGGGGAAGAGAACCCATCCATGGAAACATCCACCTTCTGAGGTGCCTGAAGAAGGGACTTCATCTCTGCCAATTCCGCAGACAAACGCTCAACCATCGTGGAAAGACCCTGGTCAGACTTAGCTCGCCTCTTCTTAGGAGGAGCTACGGAGGCTGCAGCCTCGGTCCTGCGCTTAGAGCGCCTAGCCGTGGCAACCTGCCCAGAAGGTGGAAGGTCACCGTCACGCTCTGGGCGTAACTGGGCCAGACGAGCAACCCTCACAGCATGGGGCATGTAGCTGCAGTTCATGCAGGGATCGCCCGACAGGGCCTCAGCCAGGTGATCATGCCCGAGGCAGGCAGGGCACCGGTCGTGCCCATCATCCGCCTGAAGCACAGCCCCGCAATCCGCACAACAGTGGGAGCTATCCATAGCGCCGCTGTCCCACCACAGGCAGACAGAACCGACCACGATTGGGAGAGGGGGCGGAGAACGCAACCGTCACCAATCACAAGAAAAGAGCAACAAAGGAGCTGACACCGTCAGCTATGCCCAGAACAAAGGGCAAGGAAAAAATCAAATCGGGAGAGGGGGCGAAAACGCAGCCGTCACCAACCAAACCCGGAGGGGCAACACGCAGCCCAATCCAGAACAGGAGGCTTGCTAAGATCGGGAGAGGGGGCGAAAACGCAGCCGTCACCAATCAAAGCAGCAAACGAAGTCAGGTGAATCCCACACAAAACTACAAACACAAGATCGGCTGAAACTGGGAGAGGGAGCGAGACGCTACCGTCACCAGTCACAGAGAGATGTTTTAATAATAACACAGACCAAGAATGGGCGAGGGGGCGTGAACGCCGCCGCGGACCAAAATCCAAAAACTCGGGAGAGGGGGCAAAAGGGCACCCGTCACCAATCAAAGCAAAAAACAAACCGGCCGAAAGGTTCGGCTAAAATTGGGAGAGGGGGCGAGACGCAACCGTCACCAATTAAAGCCAAACGGCAAACTGAGAAAGGCTAACACCGTTAGCGTAGCTCCAACAAACAGTACCGTGAATCGAAGATCCGTCGCAGCCCTAGGAGGGCGACACACCGCTACTCCGGCCAACAGGCAATCGGGCTTCCAACGACGGCGAAAAGATCCAAAAGGCCGATGCCATGCAAAGCGAACCGCACGCGAGAAGAAAAGAGGAACAGAGCATCGGATGACGTCATGCTATATAGCCTCTGATTGATCATCCGATATGTCACAGGTGTGACTCTTTTGGCATTATTACTCGAACGGCGCATGCGCGAAGGGAACATTCAGTGCTTTCAGCACCGCCCTCTGGCGGTCAGTAGGGATGAAATAGAACTATTGTTTCGGTTAGACATATTTGCATATTTGAATCGGAAATCTGCAGACAGAGGTAAATTAAATTAAACCTTGGAAAGAGCAGCTATACTTCAACATAATTTTACTCAAGTAAAAGTAAAGCAGTATTTGGTTAAAAAAAATTCAATTACTCAGTAAATGATCAAATATTTAATATTTAAAAAGGACATAATCAGACAGACCAAAATATAAAGTCGTGACAATTTATATAAATAACAAAATCAGGCAAAACAAGCATTTCAGTAAAAAGCTGCAGGTGTGTGTCTGATGAGTTACTGGTTAAAACTAGAGCTGAAACGATTCCTCGAGTGATTCGAGCAGCTCCATTATTAAAACTTCTCAAAAAAATTTTATCTGACTCGAAGCTTCGTTAAATTATATTTTATTATTTAGCGCCCCGTGTTCTGGCCGGATTATTACTTGCGCTGCGCAGCTCTCTACTTCCGCCTGAGTTATTGGGGAAGCTAACTGTTAGCAGCAAACCGTCCAGTTTTCGGCCTGAGAGGATTTTATTGATTGATGATGATGTCTGGGTCTTTGTCGTTTTCAGGGGATGAATAAGCCTCCTTAAAATAAAATAAATACTTCATAATAAAATTACTTATGTAAAAGTAAAAAGTACAGTGTAGTAAAAATACTTCTAAAAGTAACTTCTTTTTTTTTCAAAAACAAAACTGCTCAAATCTAAGTGAGTAAATGTAACTAGTTAATAACATAATAGGACTACAGTTGTAGTTTTTAGATGAAACAATTGGAAAATCCTGTTTTCTAACGGTACAAATGCTGACATGAATCCAAGATTTTATTTATTTGTCATGTTTCTAGAACATAATGAGTCTCTGTGACAGATAACGATTATTGTAGTAAGTTAGAAAATAAACATTTTATTTTCTGGAATTCAACAACACATATTTCTTTAGTGTATGCTTAATTACTGGCAGTTAAAAATATTTCTAACATCAACATGTATAAAGTTTCTCCCTCTCTGATTGACCTTCAATCAGTGCAGTGTTGGACTTTACTTTAATAATTAGATTTAAAAAAAAAGGTGCTTAATTGCAGATTTATTTATTCTTACTAAATTTGTACCAGGTGAAACTAAAACGTCTGGGTAGAACACATTGACAGCTAAATACAACATATATAGATTTTCTGTACAGTTTTGGGTTAATTATTGCTCTAAATATTTTGTTTTTCACCAAATGAAAGTGTTTCAGTTCTTCACAAACAGTTTAAGGAACAAATACGAACCTTTCCTGTTTTCCTGCAGTGATAACGGAGACAGAGCGAGACACAGGACACCACGGAACGCCAGGATGTCGGCTCCGTCGCTGGGGCGATTTGTCCCACGGTGAGTCCGTTATACCATTAATCCCGGGTTGCATTTGGTTTCCACCAAATGCTGAAATAATCTGGTTTGGTCCTGCAGCCGCTTCCTCCTCCCGGAGTATCTGCCGTACGCCGGGATCTTCCACGAACGAGGACAGCCGGGTCTGGCTACACACTCGTCTGTCAACAGAGTTCTCGCTGGTGAGGGAGGTTAATCTGTTTAAAAATTTAAAACATTCGCAGATGAGTGATGCATTTGAACCGCACCGCTTTAACCAAACCGAGACCTGGTTTCTAGACAGACCAGAGTTTGATTCACACCTCACCAAACAAACCAAACGTTTTAGATAAGCAAATTAGACTTTGATTAAAGTGGATCAAGCAGACCTTGATCTGTTTTCTACTCCATTTTTAGGAGCCTCTATTGGCGAAGGTCAGTCTGCGGTCGCCAGCAACATCGCCAACACGACGTACCGCCTGCAGTGGTGGGACTTCACCAAGTTTGACCTCCCAGAGATCAGTAACGGTACGAGAACTCCTCCATTCCTCCTCATTCCCCTCATTTCTTCTGATCTCTTCATATTTTTAAAACTTGTTAAGAGTCCAGTACCAGGGATGGTAACTTTTTTCCTCACACTTTTGTATGTATGGAAACGTCAGTCTCTTGGCTAGAAGTTGATAAAAAGTATTTAAGTTTATGTCAAAGGGCAGCAGCACAGATGTTAGTGGCAAAAAATATTTTGGTGTTTTTTAATTTAATTAAATTTGTATCGATTTATTCATTTGCAGTTTAACATGCATTAAAATAATTCATGATCCTAAACTGTGTCTGGTGAATTTCTGGTTAAAATATGTTTCTTTCTCATTCAGTGGGAAGGAAGTCCAGAAATGATACTCAGGATTAGAGATCCTTCATAATAAAATCACTCAAGTAAAAAGAAAAAGTGCACCGTAGTAAAAATATTCGTAAAAGTAAATTTTATTTATCTATTTATTTTTCAAAAAAGTTACTTGAATGTAATTGAGTAAATGTAATAAGTTACTACCCAGCTCTTGAGTTTGAGTTAATAAATGTTTGTGTTTCTTGTTTACAGCCTCGGTCAACGTTTTGGTGCCAAACTGTAAAATCTACAACGACGCCAGCTGCGACATCTCCGCAGACGGTCAGCTGCTCGCGGTCTTCATTCCCAGCAGTCAGCGGGGTTTTCCTGACGAGGGCATCTTGGCCATCTACTCTCTGGCGCCGCACAACCTGGGAGAAATGCTCTACACCAAGAGATTTGGTACGCCGCCGCCACCAACCGCCACTTCCTCTTTCCTGACTCCGCCCCCTGGTTAAAGCTGTTGTTCCCCCCTCAGGTCCCAACGCCATCTCCGTCAGCCTGTCCCCCATGGGATGCTATGTCATGGTGGGCCTGGCGTCTCGCAGAATCCTGCTACATCCCTCCACTGACCACATGGTGGCGCAGGTGTTCCGCCTGCAGCAGCCGCACGGTGGAGAGACATCCATGAGGGTGAGAAGAAGAAGGGCGCTCCGCTAATGAGGGCGGAGGAATGTTTTTATGCATTTCCTGATACAGACAAACTTAAAACTTATTTTGAAAATATTTTCTGTTATGTTTTTTTTGTTGTTGTTTTTTTTTTAGAAAGAAAACGAGCAACAAAAAAAAATTAGACCTCCTTCTTTGTTTCAATCTTTGGGATATAAAGTTTATTTCCTGAAGTTCAGGATGTTTGTGGTTCTCTGCCTCCCAGATGGTCTTTAACGTGGTTTACCCCATGGCTCCGGACCAGAGACGCCACGTCAGCATCAACTCGGCCCGGTGGCTGCCGGACCCGGCCATGGGTCTGGCCTACGGCACCAACAAGGGAGACCTCGTGATCTGCCGGCCCGTGTGAGTCCAACACCTCCAACTCTGCCTGAATGTCACAAATCTGAACCAGAAAACACAAAAATTGTTGAATGTTCACATCATAAAGCAGGTGAAGAATGGTTCTTCCTGTCAGAAACTAATTCTGACCAATCAGAACCAAGGAAGGGCGTCATTTCCTGTTCCATGGAGAGAGGAGGAGATCAGATTGTTTAGTATCCTCAGGTTTGTCTGTAAAATCATTCAGAACTGAAGGATTTTTTATTTGTTCCAGGTTCTGAATATTTCTGAAGCATTTTGGGATTAAATATAAGCCAGATTTTGAAAAGTGTCGGGGAATAAAATGTAGAGTCAAAATATAAATGAGAATTTCCAGGTTTTATTCTTTATTCACTGTCATTAGCATCCTTTACTTTCTTTCCTGTCTTCCTTTTTTTAATCTGTCCTTCGTTTCTGTAATCGTTCTCTTCCGTCTTTGTTTTCTTGTTGTTTCTATCATTCCTTACATTATTCCATATATTTTCATGTTTTCTTATTCCCTCTTCTGCTCTCTCGTTCTTTTTTTTAATTTTCCTTTTGTTTTCCCGTTTTTGTTTTTTCTATATTTTGTCCTTTTTTCTTTGTCATTTTTCCGTCTTTGCTTTTTCCTTTTTTAAATTTTTTTTCTTTCCGTTTATCCCTCTTCCTCTCTGTTTTTCCTTTTTCTCTTTTTCCTTTTAGCTGTTTCCAGTTTTATTGTTTTTTGGTTTTTTTCAGTTTTTTCTCTCTCTTCCCATCCTTCCAGATCTTCAGTTTCATTTCTCAGACGGTTTTTTGTCTCTGCTCATCATTCGCTCTGACCTCCATCATCTCGATGGAAACTTAAGCATCATGTGACCCCGCCTCCTCGTCTCCTCCATGTAACCTCGTTATCCTAATGAACGCCCTCACAGGAAGAACTCTGAGTGGAAAAGCCCATTTGGATCCGCTAACGAGGCTGTGAACGGAGTGGTTCCTTCCTCCACGCTGCAGACTTCCTGACTGGACGCGCATTAACCCGGGACGCCTTTCCGTCTGTTTGTGTTCAGGTTCTACAGAAGCGACGGTGAGAGTCCCACCGAGCCCAGCAGCGAACCGCTGTTCTCCGTCAACAACAGCGGAACCAGCCGGACACGAGGTTCTGACAGACCAGGGTGAGCGCTTCAGAGGCCGAGTCGTTCTGGATGTTTATGTGGAAACGGGGGCGGAACACACACACACACACACACACATATTCTCATTTTTGCCCCCTCGAGATAGCTTTGGCCCCCCAACTTTAAAAGTCTAGCTCTGCCACTGTGTGGAAATGAATATGAAAATTATTTTATTTTCACTAAATTATCTAATTATTCAATCCCTCCAGGAAGCTGCAACTGCCAGTGTTGACGCAAATTCTCTCATAATTTCCAGAATTTGTGTGGACTTGGATTTTTTTTTTTCTTATTTTTATCTTTATTGATTCCCAAAGAAGCAAATTTTACAAAACAGTGATAAAATCACACACTTGATGGGAAAAGACAATTAGACGTGTGCATTGATAAACAAAACAACTGATACTTTTACAGAGATTTTAACAAACAATTAAAAATAAATAGTAAGAAATATGAAGAAATAAACTATAATACAAATATTAATATAGTATTCAATAATGATGGGTGTAGGCTTGTCACAATAATCAATAAGTCAATTAATATTATGACAAATAAATACAATTATTTTAATTTGGAGGATTTTATAGTTTTTTTCTTTCTCTTTCTACAAAAAACTGGATGATAAAAGTCCTGAAATAAGGGACAAAACACCAAACTGAAGACTTTTCCCATCCAGATTTTGGTAGAGAAAAGTGGAAAACAACAAATAATGCAAATGTAAATTATTGAATTTGTTTTTATTTTTATGCGATTAATTAATTTGTTGCTTATTGTGGCAAAACTTTATTCTGGTCAATCGATTCTTTTTTTTCTCTGCTTTGCTGTAATACTCAGTCGTAGAAAATAACATGATGTTTGTGGATTAATGAGACAATGAAGTATATATTAATGTGAAATAATCTGAAGTTTATGGAACAGATTCAGGTTGATCCTCGGAGTGAATGAGTGAATCCTCGGTTTGTTTTTCCCCCAGACCAAACCGCTCCGGCTGGAGGCTCGACAGAGACATGGGACTGATGAACGCCATTGGTCTGCAGCCCAGAAACCCCGCCCCCTCAGTGACATCACAGGGAACGCAGACGCCGATCGTCCAGCTGCAGAACGCCGAGACGCAGACGGAGAGAGAGCTGCCGGAGCCCGGCGCGTCGCAGCAGCGCCCCAGTACGAACCCACTCTACTTCCTCATCCCAGCACTTCTAACTCACCTCAAGTTTTCAGATTAGTTTGTGTTAAATCGTCCAGATGAACCGATTCTGTCACAATAATCAGTAAAATCAATCGCATAATAAATAAAAGCTCAATTTTCATTAGCATGTTTATGGTTTTTTTCTCTCTTTTTGCAAAAACTGGATGATAAAAGTCTTCAGTCTGGCGCTTTAGTCTCAACTAAACCCTTTTTGAAGGACAATTTTGTTTCATAATTCATTTTATTTGTTCTTTCTGTTATTTTATTTATTTTGGATATTCAAAATCTCTTCCAGTTTTAAATGCTCATAATTTATCATAATATTTTATCTCAATTTCAGGGAAAGTTTATCGTCCAGCATGATGGCCGATCCGTTCTCCATATCTCTCAGAACCGGCCTTCGGTTCTGTTTGGTCCTGATGGAGTTTTTGTCTCTCCTCAGGCGCTGAAGCTCCATCTACGAGTCGAGCCGCTCAAGCGCCTCCAGAGGTACCAGAGAGCAGCGCCGGCCAAGATGGAGTCCGGACCGAAACGTCCACCGAGTCGGGCGGCCTGGCAGCCGGTAACTGACTCACCGTCTGGCTTTACTGTCTCATGCTCTGGAGGATTGTTTTCATAAAGCCACATTGAATTTAAGTCGTGTTGTCAGGTGTCTGCATCTTTAAAACATCTTAAATGAATTTCAAAAAATGTAAGTTGGACCTAAATTCTTCTCCAGGATAGTTTTTGTATTTTATTTGTTTTTGTTTTTTTGTTTTTCTCCAAGTTTTTTCTGTTATTTGGTTTTTTCTGTTATTAATATATATTTATATTTAAATACATATGTAATTTGAAGAATTATATGACATTAAAAATGTATGTCTTTATATAAAATTAAATGTGTGTATATATATACATAAATATATTTCACTGGGTTTAAGTCTATGCTTAAACTCGGTGAAACCTGCAGGAAGAAACGCAGCGAACTCAGATCACGTCGGCGACCTGCTGATGGTCCGCCGGTCGTGATGGAGGGATGAATTGAGTCGTTTCTCTTTCAGGTCCGGCCGAGTCCGCCGAGTTTGGTTCCGGAGAGGACGCCCTGGCCCGGATCCGGCGGCTGATCGCCGAGGGCGGCATGACGGCCGTGGTGCAGCGGGAGCAGAGCACCACCATGGCGTCCATGGGCGGCTTCGGCAACAACATCATCGTCAGCCACCGCATCCACCGGGGCTCCCAGACGGGCCCCGGGGCCTCCAGGGCCCCCGCCGACCCGCCCCTCCTCGTCCCCCAGCCCTTCCCGCTCCGCCCCCTGCCGGCCGCCGACCGTCTCTCCCCCATGTGGGGCCCCCAGGTGCTGCGGGGCCCGGCGCCATCGGGGCTCTCCGTGGCGGTGGACATGGACGACGTCTTTGACGGCGGACGGAATGACGACGACGACTCGCTGCCCGGACCTTCCTCCTCCTCCTCCCTGCTGCTGTCCCCCCCTTCTTCCTCCTCCTCATCCTCTCACAGCCCGTTGCCCGGCAACGGAGGCAGGCCTAACAGTTACCCTGGTGACCCGTACAGCAGGTAGTGCTCTGATTGGCCCAGAGGAGTAGAGTCCGGCGTGCTGCTTAAAGCCTTAACTCTCGCAGAAACAGGTGCTGCTTTGACACTGAAGGCCCCTTCCTCACCCTGCCTCACTCCTCTTCCTCACCCCTCTTCCTCACTCCTCTTCCTCACCCCTCTTCTTCACTCCTCTTCCTCACCCGTCACTCGTTTCCCTCCGCACTTTTCGATCCAGGCTGAAGCTGAACTGCGATCATTCCTCCCCAACTTCTCCGCTTCGAAGTGCCAACTCTGAGGCGGCGATGATGAGGAAGAGGCGGCCGCTCACCTTCCTCACAGATTGTCCGCCGCGCTCGGCGCCGTGTGACGTAGAGGCTTAAAGCGGAGACTGAAGTGTCCAGTGCCGAGTTTTTGTTGTTCACGACTCTTTGGATTTTGGTTTGGGGAGGAAAGTGGGAGTGGGGAAGTGAGTGGGGTCAAAGGTTATGCGTAGACACTCCTGACTGCAGACTGATTGGACAGATGAGACTGAATCTGCTGCGGATCATGGAAAAAAAACCCTAAAAATTTTGTTTTCTTTTTCAAAAGAAGGAGAGCAATCGTTTTCCCGCCAACGGGGGAAACCACAGGACTGTTGAAGCCCCGCCCCCCCATCCTTCTTAAAACCCAGTTGCACTACGGTGTGTTTTGGTGCTACATGAGCCTGAACAGAAGTGTGTGTGCGCGTGTGTGTGATTTTAATGAATGACTGATTTCATCCATCATGTCTGTTTGTTCACGGTTCTGTTCCAGAATCCGGTTCGTCATCCAGACGAAACCGAGTCAAAATCCACAGCAGGATATCAAAGCCAGGCTAATAAAAAAATTAAAATTACAGGAATAGTGTTGTAACATTATGAGAATAAAGCTGCAGTGTCATAACTTTATTCTCATAGGACCAGACTAGGTGAGAGAAACAAGCCCATACCCGAAAAGTCGCAATATTGTGAGAAAAAAGTTGTAATATTACTGAAAGTTGTAGAAGAATAAACCCTTAATATTACAAATAATTACCATGTGCGTTACTATAACTGTCTACTACGACAGATAATGCTACTATGGCGTTATCTGTCGTAGTAGAGCGACTTTAGAGAATCATATTACAAGAACTTATTCTCGCATTATGACTTTATTCTCGTTATATTACAGTTTTATTCTCTTGTTACGACTTTATTCTTGCGATAATTTGAATTTATTCCTGTAATATTGCAAACTTTTTCTCACTAACCCATCACTGAATTGTTTTTTCTTATCCTGGCCCTGATTCTACATCATAAAACTCATCTAGAGTCCTAGCAGAACCTCATCAGGAGCAGAACCGCAGACCCGGTCCAGGAAGGTCTGTATCAGGAGCAGAATTGGAGCATAACTGCTGATCGGATCCGGGTTGAAAACTCGACTTCTGTCTCCTTTTAAAAAATTACTCCTAACAAATCCTGTGTCCTGTGAACCGGGCTCTGGTTCCGGACCGGGTTTGTTTTTGAGTCAGAACTTTCAAAGGCCCAATCAGGTTTCGTTTCCCGCCCTCTGAGAGCCGGCCAATCTAATCATGGACTGACTTTGTTCCTGATCATGTGACTGATCCGGTTGTTTCTGCAAAGCAGCGCTGAGTTCTCCTCCTCAGCATCCGGTTCCGACCCAATCAGGACTGTGCTGCAGGAAATCCGTTCACGGCAGCATCTTCCAGCGGTTCTGATGGACTCTGGACGTAAACAGGATTACAACCAGAACTTCTCCTGAATTGATCCCACCGAGCCGGCTGGTGTCGTCAGTGTTCAAACTGAACTTGGACTGTTGAAGTTCTGGTTCTAATCGGATTGGAGCACCAGCCGAAGCTCTAAGCGTTTACCAGCTGATCTGGAGTCAGATTCAACGTAAGAAACTGGAGAAGTGCCCTCAAAGCATCATGGGATTTGGAGTTCAGTTCATTGAAATTAGAGCAACTTAACGCCTCCAGGCCTTCATCCTCTTCCTCCTCTGCTGTATTTTGGTACATGTGACGTTCGGTACTGATCCGCGTGATAGTTAACATGCCTGTTACCAGGGCGACAGCAGAACCTCCTGAGCTGACTTGATTGGTGAACGATTTGGACCCAGTTTCTCTGTGTGTGTGCGTGTGTGTGTGTGTGTGTGTGTGTGTGTGTGTGTGTGTGTGTGTGTGTGTGTGTGTGTGTGTGTGTGTGTGTGTGTGTGTGTTCAGGTTGCGGAGGGATGAGTGTAAACGCTGAACGGTTCTGCTGTGTCAGGATCCCACTGTGGAGTTCGGACGGCTCCGACGCGACTCTTTGACTTTTAGACGTGATGTAATTAAAGAGCTTTGAGAGTTTCTCTGTGATGTGACGAATGTTTGTGTCTTATCCACACGATTCGACACATATTTCATTCATAAAATACAAAAACAAAAAATTAGAAATATGCCTTTTTTTTCCCCCTTTCTTTTCAGCATTGAATCAGTGGTGTTCAAAGTGTGGCTGCGGGCCGTGTGTGGACCTCGGACTGAGTTTGTGTGGCCCCCTAAACTGCCGCTCAGTGATGATACAGAAAATGGAAACTTTATTTGCAACCAGGACAAAATTATTACTGACATGGAAACTTTTAAGTACGACACAAAGTTTGTATCTTTTTTATAAACAAGCTTTTATAAGTAGAACCAAGTTTATCCAGAGACTTTTCCTAAAAAAACTGTTTTGCTGCACATAACTCAGCTTTGAGTTTGTCTGACTGCAGCTGGCATTTAGAAAGGAGGTGACGAGCAAACATACTAAATCTTTCTCTTTTTTGAGCAAAGGTGAATCCTTTTCTACAAAGGTCATTTATTTCATTTTGTTTTTTTTTTACTATTTCCTTGACCCAGTTATGCTCCATGTGACAAAACGTTTGTCTTAAACAATGGAGTTCTTTCTCTATTTTGTCCCAAAAATCCCTCACAACTGATTATTTCTTTCTTATTATTCCAGATCAGGCCAAATTCATTTCAAATAACTGCATTTCTTAAGTTCAGATTTAGTCAAACTCAGTTTGAGAATATTGCGTATCTAAATAATCTCAGCTGATTTCACAGTCATTGACGCACTAGCAATTCTCTTCTAGATGAAGCATGTGGGGAAAGTGGAGAGGAACACTCCGCTTGTAACAGGAAGAGACACCCATCAGAATCCAGCTGAGATTCGGGGTTGAGACAAAAATCAACAGGACTTGTAATGTGTAAAATTTTGCCATTATCGCCAGTATTTACAGATATTTTTACAAATTTCTTTAAAAACTGTAAAAGCGCGTAAAATTAAATCCAGGTCACACCTAAACGTGTGTGAGTTTAGAAATATTCCTCCGATGATAAAAACATTCTATCTCAATTTCTTGTAGTTATGTCAGAACTGTCAAATCAGAGTGATCAGACGGTCCTTTGGATGTTTTGTCCGGTTGGGGAACAGAATCACAGCATTTCTTACGTTTTCAGCTGCTGTAGTTTGTTTTCACAACAATCCAAACCGTTTGAGAAACTTTCAGCAGGAAGGTTCTGTAGCTGAAGGCGAGTGAAGAAGGCATTCCTGAGGTCAAAGGGTCAAACCATCAGGGCTTGAGAGGAGGATGTGAGCTACCCTCACCATGGCAGCACCTGCCCAACGGATCAGACAACGGCTTGGTCCTTTTTTTCAGAGACGACTGTCCATGAAAGATTTCCTTAACAAAAAGAAGAACTGTTGGATTCCCGTTTGGCAGAAACCCGTTAAAGGAAACCTATTTTGGGGTTAGTGTGGATCTGTGGTCTATTCAAAACATGCACAAAATCATTCTTGGTGACATTTTAGTTCTGACAACTTTGACCTCCTTTGAGGCCTCCTGTCACTTTAAACACTAAATCCAAATAAGCTGCTGCTGGCCACGCCCCCCAACTCAACGTTTACACTCGCACATAGAAAGGGCTGTAACTACATCTTTGAAAAGCAGAAGTGGAGCCTCCTATGCAACCAATAAGAAAGCAGCAAATGGTTTCTGGATGCTAGGTCGACAAAAAACATTTGTCTGTTCCAGCAGCCATTGTACAGTGGCAGAACCCGCTATTATCTAGCTTGTGTTGCTAAGTCACAGTATAGTGTGACTTAGCAACCAGGAGGCTTTTGAAATGGCTCATTTCCCAAAAACATGAACTTATTGCCAAAAAAACCCTGTTTTTTAAATGTTTGGTCTGTTTTTAAATAGAATTATAAAAATGCATAATTGTGAGTTTTAATTGATGCGTCCCATTTAAAAAGAAGATGGAGGGTCCTGGAAATGTGCGTTCTGGACCAGAAGAACCAAGCTGAGGAGTTCTTTTTAACACGGTAGTGGCCGTGTTATGGCACGGGCCTCTGTGACTGCACTGTAAATATCACTTGTTAAAGTTACATAAATATATACAACAGCTTTGCAGAACTTTCTCATTAATTTCATAGGATTTAGTCACTTTTTATCAATGATCAATGATATTTCCACTGATCAGGTTTTATATTAAAGCTTATTCAACGTTTGTCTTTTTTTATGTGTATTTCTATAAACTTTTCATGGCCTCCTGCATGAAGCTGCCTGCTGCTGCTGGGCAGTGATGAAGATGATGCGATGAATCCGCCTGCCGTCGGCGTCGCGGCCCTCGTGAGGCTGATCTGAGGTCAGATCAGGCGGCGGCAGCAGAGTCCGCAGGGTGAGGCTCTGACGATGAGGAGGGACGGACTCTTCCTCGCCTCCTTATAAGCGGCTCTGAGTGAAGGCGACGCCGATCAGCCTGAGCAGCTGCAGCAGCTTCAGAACCAGGTGAGATTTTCACTGATTTATTCCATTTATTTAAATTTCCTGCATTCAGAAGAATCAGGAAATGTTTTAACTACATTTATGTCTTTCTGTATAATTATTAAAATGCCACTTGACCAGAAATTATTTAGAAATGATCAACTTTTATTTAACCCGATCAAATATGTTTTTTAAATTGATTTCCTCCACTTAATGTGGACGTAGCTCTCCTTTGGAGTATTGAAATAATGTCTGTATTTGAAACTAAATCAGCTTTCAGACATTAAAAGTTGTGAATAAGAAGATTGTAGTTATATTTAGCGCTAAACATTGTGTAAGAAGACAAATGAAAATGAAATCTTAGCTGGAGGGATTTTGGAAAAATAACTGCAGGAACTATAAACAACAACAAAAAAAACTCTGATCAAAGTTCCTGTTGGATTTTAATTCAAATTAAATTTAATACTTTTTTGAACCCAAAAATAATTTAATTATTGGGCTTTGTGCATCTTAAGGTGCTGAAAGATGGTAAAGCAATTGATGTAATTTGGCACTGCACAGATAAAAACAGCTTTAATTTGATTGAGAAAATAAAACTTGCAGTTGTTATTTTGAAGTTTCTATTTATGTTTAGTGGCCTTCAATGTTAAACTTTGACTGCACAAAGTTTCACTCTCACAACAGCAGAAAGAACCTGCAACGTTTCCGATCATCCTGTCGATTAATCGTATTAAAATGGCACATTCTGCAAATCTTTCATTTAAGCCTTTTTATGCACTGTTACAGTAAAATAAATCAATTCCTTTTCTTAAATCAGAAAATGTACATTTACTAACTGAAATGCGGTGTCAGAGCATTTCTTTAGGCGATGCTTCGTCCTGGATGCAAAATACTAACATCAACATGTGAAAAGCTACAAAACTTTATTTTAAACGTATGTGTTTTATGTTGCGTTCTGGTTTAATTTCTGCTCTGAGTGAGTTATTCTTTCACCAATTGGCCTTTATATGAGGATATATTCCAGTTAACGTAATCAATTACTAAATTAGTTTTCAATTATTGAATTAATCGATTGATCAAAATTAATCTGATTAATAAATTCCTAGTCAGTTTCCTTTTCTTGTGACCTCTGACCCTGACGTTGGCGCTCTAACAAGCCCCTCAGAGGCTCTGGAAGAGGAAAAGGTCCTCAGAATCACAGAATACTTCAGTTAACGATTAACTGATTGGCGATTAAACCGATTAATCGTTTCAGCCCACATGAAGGCAGCATTATGCCTGGGCTCACGGTGCCTGTGCCTGCAGGAAGCCTTGCCCGGATGGCTGACCCCGCCCCCAACGCCTCCGCTTGGCCCCGCCCCTCTGTGAACGCCTCATCCCAGGATCCAATCAGAGCCCACAGCGCCGCCGGGCTGATCCTGGTTTTCATGGTAACCGTCTCCCTGAGCATCCTGACCGTTGTGGGCAACACGCTGGTCATCCTGTCCATCAAGGTGAACCGCCATCTGCGGACCGTCAACAACTACTTCCTGTTGAGCCTCGCGGCCGCCGACCTGTTCATCGGCCTGCTGTCCATGAACCTGTACACGATGTACCGCCTGCGGGGCCGCTGGCCGCTGGGGGCCGCGCTCTGCGACACCTGGCTGGTCCTGGACTACGGGGTGAGCAACGCCTCGGTGCTGAACCTGCTGCTCATCAGTTTGGACCGCTACCTGTGCACAACATGGCCGCTCAGCTACCCGCTGCAGCGCACGGGCCGCGTGGCGGGGCTGATGATCGGCGGCGCCTGGCTGCTCTCGTTCCTGCTTTGGGCGCCCGCCATCTTGTGCTGGCAGAGCGTCGGCGGCCGGCGGGTCATCCCGGACGGACAGTGCTACATCCACCTGCTGGCCAGCCCGGCCGTCACGCTGACCACCACGCTGACGTCCTTCTACCTGCCGGCGCTCGTCATGGTCGGATTGTACATCCGGTTGTCGGCCGCCAGCCGCCGCAGGCTGACTTGCCTTCAGGCGGAGCTGGGGACGCCCAAGATGGCGGAGCCGCGGGGGAAACGCTTCACCTGGAAACGACGCAGCTGGATGACCAGGAACCGGGGCTCGGATCTGACTCTGAACCAGCAGGGGAGTCCGGCCAACAGCTGCAAAGGCCTGGTAGGTGATCCACCTTCAGTACCACACTCATAAAATCTACATTAAAAATGAAGCCATATTTCCATTACAAATTAATAATTTCAAAAAGTCAAAATGAAAATAAAGTCATACTATTATGAGAAGTGATAGGATGATAATTTCATAATAATATGAGAATAAATTCATATACTGGAAATACATTTGTAATATTTTGAATAAAAAGTTATAGTTATAATATTTTAAGAGCAATGTAATAATGTTATAATAAAATCATATTTCCAGAATAATGAGAATAAAGTAATGACAGTGTGACTTTAGTCTGCTAATACTATGAGTTTATTTTTTTAATTATTTCCTCTTTATTCCAGTAATATGACTTGATTTTTGTTTTTTTGTTGTTTTTTTTCTTTGGATGGCTCTAAAACTCAGACCAACTTTGTATCACATCAGTCACTTTTTAATTAGAAGTTGATTCTGCTCCCCTATTAAAGTGAAACTTAAGGGGCTTGTTGTGTGTTTTCATTTCTAAAGAGAAGCATAAAGTGCATTTTCCATCCCAAACCAGACTGGACCGTTTGTCTTTCCTGTCCATCTTTGTTTCTGTATCAATGGCTTCTCCAGCAGCGCCCTCCACTGGATGGCTGCCAAACTACAACACCAAAAGAAGGCCTGAGCGGACTTTATTGGTTAATCGATTGGAACTCGTTTTAATTTATTCAACAATTAATCAACAATTGTTTGCTGCTGCCTGTCAGTTTGAAGGAACTGTGACTTCACAAATCGAACCGTCTGTCTCATCAGCAGCCGCTCTCCAGAACCTCCTCATGTGCAGCGGGAGACGAAGACGCCTTATCGATCACCGACCTCCATAGCTCGGCCTCCGCGGCGCTGTCCTCCTGTCCCAGCTTCCGGTCCCAGGAGCGCAGGAGGCGGCGGGTGATGGCGCGGGAGAGGAGGCTGACCAACACCGTCCTCGCCATCTTGCTGGCCTTCATCATCACCTGGACGCCCTACAACGTCATGGCGGTCATCGCCGCCTTTCGTCACATCCGAATCCCCGACGCTCTGTGGACTATGGGCTACTGGCTGTGCTACGTCAACAGCACCATCAACCCCTGCTGCTACTCGCTGTGCAACGTCACCTTCCGGAAGACCTTCTGCTGCCTGCTGAGCTGCCGCACCTGGAAGCTGCACCAGCGCTGACACAGGTGAAACAGGATCCAGGTGTTTACCATGGCGCACTAGTAGATAGAAGATGGAGTTAACTTCTGCTAAATGACTCAGAAAATGTCAGAGTCTAAAACTTTCTTCTTTCAAAACTCTAGAAAATTTCTCTGAGCTTAATCTCAAAATTTCAGAATTTTAAATTCTATGTAAATTAGCATCATGTATTTTGCCACAGAATATTATTAGATAGGAAAAAATGAGTAAATTCTCTTGAAAGAACTAAATTCTCCAAAATTCTTACATTTTTTAGTTATTCAATTTAACAGACCATTTTGACTTTTAAAACTCTAATGTAAAATTTCTGAGATTAAAGTGAAATTGAGTTTTTTCACGCAAATTAAAAAAATGTCCATTGTTTTTCTAGAAAATTTGTGAAGTCGATCTCAAAATTTCTGATTTCTTTCTAACAAAGTTGCAACTTTTCAAAGTCAGAAAGTTCTAAGAATAATCTGAAGAATCAATCAAATATAATTAGAAATTTGTGCAGAATCTGTTCAGTCAGGAATTTGTTCAGGTTCAGGAGCTCATGAAGAAAACTTTTGTAATTAATTTAAAAATCCTTTCGAATCAACAAGTTGAAATTTGAATCTGTTCAGGTTTGCATCTGATCCGTCAGCCTGACAAAAATCACGTTGCTTTAATAAACAAACACACAAAACGTTTTCACCAAAACAATGTACAGCATTTATTTGTTCATTTGTACAAGTCTTATCAATAATCTGTAATTCCAAAAATAAACTTTCCCTCAGTTCAGATGTTGAAGCATCAAACTGTGGATGATCTGCAGGATCAACTTTTCCCCTAAAAACTTTTAAAACTACAAGAGGGAGCATTAAACTACCAGCTACCGAAAGAAGGTTATTCTGATCAGCTAAAGCTTAAATCCAAGGAAAACAGGAGAACATCAAATCAGAGCGGGAATCAGCGAGTCGGACGGGTCAGTTTGAGGACAGGAAGTCTGTTTTGGAGTCTCTGGTTTTAAATTTGAAGAACGGAAGACGATTGTTCAGCTGGAGGAGGAGGAGAAATCCTGTCGTCTTCTGGTTCGCTCTCCCTCCTTCAGTTTGATTTCTTCTCCCCTGAAGACGAAACAAAAGTTTAAAGCAGAGCCACGCCTTGTTGCTAGGAAAGGGTAAAAGCATCGATCATGTGACCAGTTGGAAGGAATCGCGATTTAATGAAGTCTGAAGGTGGCGAGGCTTTTATTTCTAAAAAGAAAAAGGTTTTCACTTTTAAATGTGAATTTAGTTTGTCATAAGTTTAAAAAGAATTGTTTTTAAAATAACAGATTTTTTTTATTTTAACATGTCAATCATGGTATGTAAATTTTCACCCAAAAACTCAGAAATTTTGGTATTAATCTAAAACTTTCTGAGCTCAAAGAGTCAAACATTTGTCAGGAAAAAAATCCCAAATTTTTTTATTTATCTCAAAAATGTTCTACGAAACATCAAGACGTTTATGGGCTTAAAAAGTCAACAATTGGCAAGACAATATTTTGGGTTAATCTCAGAAATTTTCTGGAAACTGATGGAAATTTCTGAGATTAAACTAAAAATTTCTCGAGTTTTTGTTTTGCACGTTTTTGACGTTTAAAGCTCAGAAAATTCCAAGATGTTCTGTAAAATTTCAGGAGTTAATTTCTCACTAATTGCTTTTTACTTTTTTAGCGCCCAAAAAAGTACTACTAATCTACAATTTCAGATTTTTTTTCTTTTGCCCTAACACAACGCTGCAGTTTAGCAGTAAAACTGTTTTTTTCTCATTGAAAGGAAACTCAATATCCTGAAATGTGAGCAGATCTATAAGCTGGCGACCAAACGAGTGATGAAACCGCCTGGCTGCCGCTGCAGCTGCTGAGGCCTCACCTCTGGTCTTCTTGGGTTTGTGGGAGCAGGGCTTGGACACCTTGACGGTGCTCTGGCAGTCGGCGTTGAACAGAGCTCGTTTCAGCGTTCCTGACCGGCTCTTGGTGTTGGTCCCGGCGTCGCAGGAACTCCACGCTCCGAACTTGTACTTACAGTCGCCTGAGAATAAGAAGATACAATTACAGACACAAAGTTTTCTTGCAATCAAAGTCTAAATGTAAAGATAAATGTTCAGTTTAGTGTGTGATGATGTCACACACTGATTTTATTTTTAATTAAACTGCTTTATGTTCACAGGTGAAGCTCCACATCTACAGTTTGTACATCAAATTGAAGTTTTCTGTTCAATTGTGCAGAAACTAAAACTTTAATTCACTCCCAGTATTATATTTTAGCTTTGACATTTTCTTTCCAAACTAGAAAACCCAAGTTTGGAAATCTTCCGCATAAAAAATGTTGTTGTTTTAATTAAGAAAATGTTTTTTTTTTAAATCTTTTTAAATTTCATTTTTATAATAAAATAAACAAAAAGGCTACAAGAAATTTAAATTTTCAGTCATAATTATGCGATTCAAAGTCATAATTTTCTAATAATCTAATAATTATGATTTTGTATATTATAATTTTCACTTTATATCTCATAAATTAGATGTTTAAGGTTGAAATCTTGACTTTGTATCTCAAAAGTATGACTTAATTTTAGAATTATGATTTGGAATGAATATAGTATTAATTAATTAATACAAAGTTTTTTCAGTTTTTTCTGTATTTTGCGGTTTTTCACTAACAATGTATCCTGTACTTTGATGTAAAATAAATTTCTATTAAAAAAATTCAGACTTTTATTCCTAAAATTATTTTGACTCAAACGTTGACCACCAGGAGGCGCCATCCTTCACTTTACTGATCTTAACTTCATTTCCAAACAAAGGACAGTTATTAACAACATTAAATCTGTTTCCTGTCCCCATGTGGAGCTCATCTCCTCCATTATTCCCGCCCCCTTGCGCTGGTGACCCCGTGACCCCTGAGTGTGTGAGTCTCACTGATGTCCTTCTTCCAGTTGCAGGGGATCTTGCAGTGGATCTTGTCGGTGCGATCTTTGCAGGTCGCCTCCCTCAGTCCGTCTCCACAGTCTCCGTTATCCGGTACACATTTCCCGTACCGGGTCTCTGCCGCGGTGCATTCAGAGGCCGGTCGGGATTTATCAGGTTTCCCACCTGCAGAGCGGAGAAACATGACATCATCATCATCATCATCTCCTGATATAAATGTTTCTACTTCCTCCAGGCAGATTTCTTGAGTTTCTATGTATTTTTATGCTCTGATGTTTTCATCCCAAAGACAGGGGTGTCCAAAGTGTGGCGCGGGGGCCATTTGTGGCCCTTGAATGGATTTTTTTTTTTTTGGTCCCCAAGCATCCTAGTTTGGGGTCTTTCATTTTAGTTAAGTTTTATTTCATTGTGACTTTTTGTCAAATTCAATTAGTTTTAATTAGGTTTTAGTGTGTTTGCTAGTTTTTATTAGCTGCAGTAGTTTTGGTTTCTTCACACTTTGGTTAATTTTTAGGTGAATAATTAATGAATACTCAATAGAAGAAACCTTTTTCTAAAAATGTATTCAGTTATTGTTGAACAACCAGCCGACTGTTGCCATAGAAAGTTTATTATCCTAATCCACAACTTCCAGGTGCCAGCCGCCTTTAAGGTCAGAATTTTGATTTTAAAAAGTCAAAATTCCTACAAATTGTTTTTTATTTCCTGTGAAGCGAGAACTGAACTGAGCAGAGCAGGACGACATTTAGAGCCGATTGCGGCGGCGTTTTGTCTCACCTTTGTGGTGTTTGGCTCGTTTGTTGGCCTCGACGGCGAGCGTGAGCGCCAGGAGCAGCAGCAGCGTCACTGAGAACAAACTTCGCATCCTGCAGAGACTAAAACAGGGAGGGAGACGCAGTCAGGGTGATCAGCCACGGAGCAAAACAGGCAGAGATGATGGGGTCGGGGGTCGACTCCCTGCAGCTTACTGAGCTGCAGCTGCTGGATGCGTCAACACAAACACAGACACGTGCACAGATGTACAGTCAGGGGGAGATGCCCCACTGCAGGGATTACTGAGTGGGCTTAGTGGGCCCAAAGGGGGTCAGGGGGCCCGAGTCACTCAGATTCACAAAACAGCGAGAAAGAGTTCACAAAGAGACAAAAAGCTTGTTTACAAACTCAGAAAAATGGATTATAAAGAGAAGAGGCTGGCAAAGAGCGACTCGATACGCCACAGAAAACCTCAACAAGAGGAGACAAAAACAAAGAGGCAATTAACTCCTGAAAAACGATTCCAAAAGAGTTTAAATGAACACAAACAGGGCTGGATTTCACTGCATAAACAGGCACATAACATAAAGCTTAAAGGGGGAAAAACGCTGCATTCAACCCAGTTAACCTCAACAAGACGACTCCAAACAGACACAAAGAGATGGATGACAACTAAACACTGACTCAGAAAGCCTAAAACATTCTGCAAATATGACAAAAACCTGAGAAAACCAGACAAAAAGAGATGGATGATAACTAAACACTGACTCAGAAAGCCTCAAAAGAAACAAAACTGCAAAAAAACAAGCAAATCTGACATAAAATGGAAAATTAAATGATGTGAATCTCGTTATGTTTTATAAAGCAAAACAATGAACTACAAACTGAAACAAAGGAAGAAATATCGCAGACAATGGAAAACGTGTCTGCAAAATTCACTGAAATACAGAAGCAAAGCAACAGAACAAAAAACAACCTAAAACAGCATTTATTACAAAAAAAATATCATGTATAAAACATTAAATAAAACCAACAGAAAATACAAAACACAATAAGACATTCAAGGAGAAATTAGAAACAATCAAAAGTTTTTGCCAAATAAGAAAAAAAGACTTCTACAGTCTGGATCAGAGGAAACCTAAAATCAGCCATGGAGACAAATTATTAACCAGTTATTGATCAGAATCGGGATTTTAGAGCTGAAATCTGAGTTTTATCAAAGCAAAAGTTCATGAAATAACTGGATTAATGAGATTATGGACAGATTTTGGAAAAAAATCTGGATCCTGAACCAGGTTTCATTGGAAAAACAGCACAACTACACAATAAACATAATTTATAAAATTATAATTTATAAAACATCAGTTTATTGAAGGTCTCACCTTAGTGAACTTAAAACTTATTTAAAAACACAGTTCAGCCATAATATAAGCCAAAACGAGACACTGTTATACA